GATAAACAAAATCTAGCCTCTGATAAACAAAATCTAGCCTCTGATAAACAAAATCTAGCCTCTGATGGCCTCTGATAAACAAAATCTAGCCTCTGATGGCCTCTGATAAACAAAATCTAGCCTCTGATAAACAAAATCTAGCCTCTGATAAACAAAATCTAGCCTCTGATAAACAAAATCTAGCCTCTGATAAACAAAATCTAGCCTGATAAACAAAATCTAGCTCTGATAAACAAAATCTAGCCTCTGATAAACTCTGATAAACAAAATCTAGCCTCTGATGGCCTCTGATAAACAAAATCTAGCCTCTGATAAACAAAATCTAGCCTCTGATAAACAAAATCTAGCCTCTGATAAACAAAATCTAGCCTCTGATGGCCTCTGATAAACAAAATCTAGCCTCTGATAAACAAAATCTAGCCTCTGATGGCCTCTGATAAACAAAATCTAGCCTCTGATAAACAAAATCTAGCCTCTGATAGCCTCTGATAAACAAAATCTAGCCTCTGATGGCCTCTGATAAACAAAATCTAGCCTCTGATAAACAAAATCTAGCCTCTGATAAACAAAATCTAGCCTCTGATGGCCTCTGATAAACAAAATCTAGCCTCTGATAAACAAAATCTAGTCTCTGATAAACAAAATCTAAACTCTGATGGCCTCTGATAAACAAAATCTAGCCTCTGATGGCCTCTGATAAACAAAATCTAGCCTCTGATAAACAAAATCTAGCCTCTGATGGCCTCTGATAAACAAAATCTAGCCTCTGATAAACAAAATCTAGCCTCTGATAAACAAAATCAATAAACAAAATCTAGCCTCTGATAAACAAAATCTAGCCTCTGATGGCCTCTGATAAACAAAATCTAGCCTCTGATAAACAAAATCTAGCCTCTGATGGCCTCTGATAAACAAAATCTAGCCTCTGATAAACAAAATCTAGTCTCTGATGGCCTCTGATAAACAAAATCTAGCCTCTGATGGCCTCTGATAAACAAAATCTAGCCTCTGATAAACAAAATCTAGCCTCTGATAAACAAAATCTAGCCTCTGATAAACAAAATCTAGCCTCTGATAAACAAAATCTAGCCTCTGATAAACAAAATCTAGCCTCTGATAAACAAAATCTAGCCTCTGATGGCCTCTGATAAACAAAATCTAGCCTCTGATAAACAAAATCTAGCCTCTGATAAACAAAATCTAGCCTCTGATAAACAAAATCTAGCCTCTGATGGCCTCTGATAAACAAAATCTAGCCTCTGATAATAAACAAAATCTAGCCTCTGATAAACAAAATCTAGCCTCTGATAAACAAAATCTAGCCTCTGATAAACAAAATCTAGCCTCTGATAAACAAAATCTAGCCTCTGATAAACAAAATCTAGCCTCTGATGGCCTCTGATAAACAAAATCTAGATAAACAAAATCTAGCCTCTGATGGCCTCTGATAAACAAAATCTAGCCTCTGATAAACAAAATCTAGCCTCTGATAAACAAAATCTAGCCTCTGATAAACAAAATCTAGCCTCTGATGGCCTCTGATAAACAAAATCTAGCCTCTGATAAACAAAATCTAGCCTCTGATGGCCTCTGATAAACAAAATCTAGCCTCTGATGGCCTCTGATAAACAAAATCTAGCCTCTGATAAACAAAATCTAGCCTCTGATAAACAAAATCTAGTCTCTGATAAACAAAATCTAGCCTCTGATAAACAAAATCTAGCCTCTGATGGCCTCTGATAAACAAAATCTAGCCTCTGATGGCCTCTGATAAACAAAATCTAGCCTCTGATAAACAAAATCTAGCCTCTGATAAACAAAATCTAGCCTCTGATAAACAAAATCTAGCCTCTGATAAACAAAATCTAGCCTCTGATGGCCTCTGATAAACAAAATCTAGCCTCTGATAAACAAAATCTAGCCTCTGATAAACAAAATCTAGCCTCTGATAAACAAAATCTAGCCTCTGATAAACAAAATCTAGCCTGATAAACAAAATCTAGCCTCTGATAAACAAAATCTAGCCTCTGATAAAACAAAATCTAGCCTCTGATGGCCTCTGATAAACAAAATCTAGCCTCTGATGGCCTCTGATAAACAAAATCTAGCCTCTGATAAAAATCTAGCCTCTGACAAAATCTAGCCTCTGATAAACAAAATCTAGCCTCTGATAAACAAAATCTAGCCTCTGATAAACAAAATCTAGCCTCTGATGGCCTCTGATAAACAAAATCTAGCCTCTGATAAACAAAATCTAGCCTCTGATGGCCTCTGATAAACAAAATCTAGCCTCTGATAAACAAAATCTAGTCTCTGATAGCCTCTGATAAACAAAATCTAGCCTCTGATGGCCTCTGATAAACAAAATCTAGCCTCTGATAAACAAAATCTAGCCTCTGATAAACAAAATCTAGCCTCTGATGGCCTCTGATAAACAAAATCTAGCCTCTGATAAACAAAATCTAGCCTCTGATAAACAAAATCTAGCCTCTGATGGCCTCTGATAAACAAAATCTAGCCTCTGATAAACAAAATCTAGTCTCTGATGAACAAAATCTAGTCTCTGATAGCCTCTGATAAACAAAATCTAGCCTCTGATAAACAAAATCTAGCCTCTGATAAACAAAATCTAGTCTCTGATGGCCTCTGATAAACAAAATCTAGTCTCTGATAAACAAAATCTAGCCTCTGATGGCCTCTGATAAACAAAATCTAGCCTCTGATGGCCTCTGATAAACAAAATCTAGCCTCTGATGGCCTCTGATAAACAAAATCTAGTCTCTGATAAACAAAATTTAAATGAAATGAAATTGAAAATCAATCTTTGAATCAATTTTCAGAATAAAACTGAAATATCATGAATAATAATTCAAACATTTCTGATACTTTTCTGAAGACACTTAGATAGAACCAAGAGTAAAACAAAACCTCATTTTCATATAATAAAACCATGGATAGCACTGGCAATGTTAGGACTATAGTAATCTACCACAGCCCAAGTCATAAGCAATCTGTGAAAATCAGTAGTGCCAAATATGTCAAATAAGTCCAAGTAAGGAAATAAAATCTACATATGCCCAAATATAGTAAAGAACATCTATCAATACCCAAATATGGTAACAAGCACCAACCAATATCCAAATTTGGTCATAAACTCCTATTACTGTCCTAATATGGTCAGCAAGACATTTGAATGCAATTTCATATTTACACTCATTATATGGCCATGAATGCCCAAACATGAACATCAAGCAACATCTAATGTTATGATTTTGTTAGAATCAACAAAGATTATGTGCTGAAACATTGCTTCTGTTACACAGATGAATTTTTAAAGCGAGCAAAATATGTGAACATGCTTAAGTGGCAAACAAGTTAAATTTAGCCTAATTTATAAATTAGTAGTTTTCCTAAAAATATTGTATACATGTTTTATAAAATCATTTTCCTTTAAATATGTAACTGGTCATTGAAAGAACACTGAAGAATCAAATCGGAGGTGTAGTGTATCTATTTGTGTTTTCATTCCTAAATTCACTTTGTCATCCAAGGGGAGGTAATACTCAGGATAAACACAGAACGTCAGCACTTACCCTAAAGAAAATTGCTTATCTTATAATGTTTAATGACCTTTCAACATTGGGGAAAAAAAATCTTAAAAGGTTGATGACTTGAATACAAAAGGATTCAGATATGTAAGTGGAGGTGACATTACTGCCAGGACAAAACATGCTTTTTCATGGTGTCTTCCTATTATAGATGTATTTTAACATGTATCTAAAATGTCTTCATTGCCCTCTGAACTTCTATATAATTCCTACCTAATATGGTAGTTTGGTGTTTGTATAGCTTTTGGTCCAAATCACATTCCTATAAATAACATCACACAGAGTCAATGGGAAAATCATCAAAATGACACTGATCCCATTGCGTATATTGCTCAATGAATGCCATTTCTCAAGCAGCGACTTGCAAATACTCTATAATATTCACAAGAGACAGCGACAACTTGGGCAGATAGATGAACTGATACCATGGCTAGGTAAAGCTCTGACTGGTTAAACTGAATCGCACTAGGTACTGAACAACTTAAGCAAAGCAAAACTCATCACACAACTCAGGATATGTCAACATAATTAAAATCTTCTGTAGTAACAGTTTAATGTAGACATCTTTTGTGTTTCAGGTATCAAAGCAATTAAATGAGCATTAATTAATCACAAAAAATAAATAAATAAATAAAATCTACACAAAATATTAATTGTATTGTTTCTATAGTAGTAAGGTAGATAATAACATCATTTGTTGTCAAACTGATGATTTTCTTAAAGATATCATGAACAAATTCATTTCTATATAATCTAAAAGGATTAAATGGTGTTATTTACACTACAAAATATGTACACAAATATAAAAATCCTAGTCATCCATATCATTCACAATTTTTTATTTTGCACAGTGTAATTTTTAGGTTGATGTAGCAAAAAATCGTCCTTAAGAGAAATATGTTCAACTTTAAAAAAAAAACTTGTTTCTTATTATATTAAAAAATAATCATTGCTGCCATGTGTTGTATTTAATTGTTTATGTTATAAGAATAAATTAAAAGTGAAAATATTAACACTGTATTAAAGTATTAGATTAAACATGATAAATACCGGTAGATATTTTACTTCGATGAAATTTACACTATACAGGAATTAGGTATTGCATAATTTAAAAACTTCTGTTCCATGTTTTTTTCTTTATGGTTTAAAGCTGAACAGTGTAAATAACACTATGACAGGAAATAGAAGTACATTACTGCTGAAAAACATTAAAAATTACACTGCAACAAAATAAAACTGCCTACAGTAATGTTATGCAATGTAATAAATTAGTACATATTATTAAAATCACTATCAATTTCAAAATTAACAGGAAGGCACACATTTGCAAATTTTATTGGGATCATACACCAATCATGACCTGCAGTTGTACAAAAGTATAAAGTTCCTTACCTTTCCTCGTCAACCATAGCCAGGTCTTCGTCCAGTTCCATATCTGTACTCCCTGTACTGGACATTGGTGACCGACCGCGATCCCTGGAAGGAACAAAAGAGAAGCCTAAAGACCAATGATAAATGCCTTGACCACTGTAGTAGATGTATGACCAAAGCTGACCATTATGGACAACAGACCATTGCCCTTGAATATACATAAAACAATTTTGATAAATCATTCAGTTGTAAAGGAAACATTACAAATAACATATTTCATCTCTATATCTGTAAAAGGGAAAAGCTGATTTTGCCATAATTGAAAACATAACAATTTGACATCTTGTAGGCTGCCAATGATGGAAGATATTCAGCAAAAATTTCTTCAGAATTTTTTTTCAAAAACTTATTTAGTGTATTGGGATTAAAATACAAGGTGTGTATTTACACAATTTTAATATTCTCTACATGTCAAGTAAGGACGTGATACAAAAATCTGTCATGCACTTTCATTTGTGATGTAAAGTAAGTACTGAGACTATTAGATTAAATGTTCATCACTTCATTGATATGCTTAATAATACTTCAATACAACGATTTGCTTCAATTCCTGACAATATCTGATACATTACAAAGAGGAGACCATTGAACACCAGAAACTAGTTCCATATTTGTTACCATGCTTCTTTTTTAACAGAACTGCCCCCAAAAACATGTCTTTGATCAACTTCATTTAAAACAATATCTGAACATGATAAAACTATTCACTAAAGTTGAGGTTAACCCATGATTTTATCACAAAAATTTACAAAAAATTTAAATTTCACTGTTTCTATAGTATAAAGACAGAAAATAGCATCTTTCATTGCCAAATTTTAAAACCGATGTTTTACGAGAGAAATATATCCGAAATAAATACATTTTGTCATAATCCAAAAGTATTGAACAGTGTTACATAACAAAAATATGTCTACAAGTATAAAAATGCCAGTCATCCATTGGGTGATTTGGAGTATTTTCTATACATATCCCAGAGTACCTGCTTTCTCGTTTTAAGTGATCTTAATTCAACATCTATAACATTTAACAAAATAGTACCACCCATTATAAATACTGAACATTTGGAAAATTCTTAATCTGATTTTGACCAAATCAATAGGTTCAGTGAATTTGTCATGATAAAGGATTTTGAGATGACAATGAAATGAAACATTAATGAAATAATTTAGAGGAGAAAACAATTAAGGAGGGGTGGTGTTGAAAAATAGTGAGAGAAAGAAAATTTACAGTCACATGGACAAACACTTAACTTGAAAAAGAGGTATTTCAAACAATACAAGAGTCATTTTACACACATGGAGATTAGGGTTATCATAAAAATAATGACATGTTTTTACAACTGCTGTAAAGAATCTTCTCAGAACTGTGAATTTTCAGGTAAAAAGCAAATCTAGTACAATATTTTGGACTCTATTTCAAGGGAATGTACAAAAATAATCTATCCCTCCCACTTCACAAATAAAACAACACCTGGGGGGTGGGGGTGGAGGCATAACGTCCTGCAATTGATTAAATTCCTCCTAGAACTGCCATGGATACCAAATAAAAGATAAATAAACAGATAAATAAAATATGTGAAACAAAAGATAAATAAATAAACGAAAAATGTAAGTTTTATACAACATCAACACTATCTACACACTGACTCAACATCAGAGCTGGTCATGCAGGGATGTAGTATATTGGACATGCAGAGTATTGGTAAATATGGATCCACAACACTCTTTACATACAATCTCTCGTCCTTCTTTGTTGGGGAACAGAGTTTAGGACTCTCTGGTGCTGCATCCACAGGCTTAGTACTGAAAGTCAAACAGCCAATAATTCTCCACAATCCATATTTCATTATCATACAAAACATTTAAAAATATTTTAATGAAACATATCTCGCCTCACAACAATCTCTTCTTTGTAGTATCTACGTTATCTCTTCTTTTGGTGACAATGTGAAATAAGATGAGGATTTTTTTGTATAGAATCCGTCTATTTTTCAGCATTTACAACAAATTACAAATATACACATATAGTCATCTCTATTCCCTGATAGATGCTTTAGTACTCATTGTGTTTAGTAATTTCTATTGCTACTAATGTTTTCCTGTAAGTGAAACACTCATCACATAATCCTCTTGTTATTCAGTAAATGATATTTTTGTGTATATGTCACTGGTGGAATACAGCCTTTGGTGTTTTTCACCAGCAGTCAGTGTTTACTAGTGGAATACAGCCTTTGGTGTTTTTCACCAGCAGTCAGTGTATACTAGTGGAATACAGCCTTTGGTGTTTTTCACCAGCAGTCAGTGTATACTAGTGGAATACAGCCTTTGGTGTTTTTCACCAACAGTCAGTGTATACTAGTGGAATACAGCCTTTGGTGTTTTTCACCAGCAGTCAGTGTATACTAGTGAAATACAGCCTTTGGTGTTTTTCACCAGCAGTCAGTGTATACTAGTGAAATACAGCCTTTGGTGTTTTTCACCAGCAGTCAGTGTATACTGGTGAAATACAGCCTTTGGTGTTTTTCACCAGCAGTCAGTGTATACTGGTGAAATACAGCCTTTGGTGTTTTTCACCAGCAGTCAGTGTATACTAGTGGAATACAGCCTTTGGTGTTTTTCACCAGCAGTCAGTGTATACTAGTGGAATACAGCCTTTGGTGTTTTTCACCAGCAGTCAGTGTATACTAGTGAAATACAGCCTTTGGTGTTTTTCACCAGCAGTCAGTGTATACTAGTGAAATACAGCCTTTGGTGTTTTTCACCAGCAGTCAGTGTATACTAGTGAAATACAGCCTTTGGTGTTTTTCACCAGCAGTCAGTGTATACTAGTGGAATACAGCCTTTGGTGTTTTTCACCAGCAGTCAGTCAGAAATTGATTGCGATGCCATAATAATTTGGACAATGATGTTACGTCATCAACTGAAAATGGCTATATACATTTGATTTTGTCCTCTATATTTTTATTTTACAACCTGTTACAACTGAGTTATGTGATAAATGTATCATAATGAGTTCTTATGAAACATACTTGTGTCAAAGTTTTCATTTTTGAAAGGGAATGCTCACAAAAATTGCAAAACCTTCTAAATACTCTTCATAAAATCTCTTATGAAATGAAACCTCGTCCATAAATCTAATATATGTGAATATTCTAAAGACATATTACAAATTCAAATTAAGTTCTTTTTGTAAAATTTTTACTTTATCTACATTCTTCATTCTTGCCTCTAATTTCTTAATCATCCTGTCGCAATAGTTTTTTTCCCCTTTATTTTTCTCATCAATAAATCTAACATACCATGCATTTCTTCCACACAGTTTACTTATAAATGCCACAGATTTGTTTTGACACAATTAAAATCTTAATTGTTGTCAGAAAAAAGAAAAATAAAAGAACAACAAACTTCTGCAAAAAAATTTTTTTTAATTAAAGAATAAATTTTTTTATTAGGAACAGGAAAAGGAATAGGAAACTTTATTGAAAACCAATATTCTTGGATGAAAACAAACAAGGTAATTTTTCCAAACAGAAACTGAGAAAAGTTAACTTGCCTTGGTCATTTATTAAATGCTGTAAATACATGCACAGATATTCAAAGCAATAAATTACTTTCAAAGACAATTACTTTAAATTTTGTACAATATGTAACATTACTTGGTAATTTACTCTCAAATGTATTGACTGAAATTGTTAAGTCTTTATTTTCCATATCTTCTTTTTAAGATTTTTTTTTGATTTTCTAAAAATGGAATGTCATAATCGAATAAAATGAAAATCCGAATTCTGTAGTATCAGGCTCCAATAGCTTACACTTAAGGGTGTCCAGGCACCAATTACTCTATTAGTGAAAAAAGAGTTCCACATCAATGACTTCCTTTTTGTTTTGAAGTACTCTTTGTATTGGGGCCTTAAGCTCAGGCAGTTAAAAGTGATGGCATGAGAAACCTAAGCTAAAGAACCTGTGATGCATAGTTCCACGTTCTCAGGAGGCTGAGAAACAGACCAGTCTGCCAATGTGATTGTAACCTTGGGGAAGACACTAACTTTAATTGCTCTGGATGGTATGTGATGGGCCTTCCATATGTTGTTCAGTAAGGTAGTCAACAGCTACTACAATGAGACTCCATCTCATGATGACCTAACTATTCTGATGGTATTTAACCCAGAAAATTCTTTTTATAAAAATGTTAAAACGACATAATGACTCTTTCTCCCTATGACTGACATGCCTTATGGAGCTCTTATTGTTAAGTTTGATGACATACATCCATAATTTCTTGATATTAACATAACTTAACAAAACAGGAAAATGTGCATATCATCTCTGATCATTGGAGTGGTATTTTTTGCTTGAATTTTGATAAGAAATAAGTTCAAATTTAAACAATGTGGCTTTATGCCACAAAGGCTTGGTAACCTGGGTTTTTCACCATTATAGTTAATAGAACACATGCAAAATAAAACTATTTAAAATTCCTTATTGTAGGTGACATTTTCATTGAGTTAAATTATGGGTGTACAGGAAATTCACACCATGCTTATTTAAAATTTTAACAGATTAAAAACATTTACACATTGAAGTGTATCATCAATGCATACCAAAATAACAGTAACAAAGCGTTTTCATTTCCACCACATACTTACATCTTAGCTACAGATCCCAGAATGTCAATACTTAATCTGATTGGTTATAAACAACAATAGGTCAAAGGCAATGAAACTCAATACTTAATCTGATTGGTTATAAACAATAGGTCAAAGGCAATGAAACTCAATACTTAATCTGATTGGTTATAAACAATAGGTCAAAGGCAATGAAACTCAATACTTATTTCTTATTTTTGTCAATCTCTCTCTCTCTCTCTCTCGTGCATCAGTGATTTTGGGATAGGGTTAATACAAGAGAAAAGCAAATAATCGTTTATATTCACAATTAGCTAGGGAATGGAGGCTATGTTGGGGGACTATGTTGTACTATATATAGTAACAGAGGAACACAATGACAATCATTCACGTTACTTGTTTCTTTTCTAAGAATCATTTCCCTGCAGTGAAGTTTTTTAAAAGATAATTCTTTGAATATGATCATTTTATTAGGTTATGATCTGAAGCACAAAATAGACAAATAAAACTTTGTTATACATCTGCATTGTTATCGATCACTACCATGATCAAGATATTTATGTCATTCCATCAATCTGAGGATAGAATTCCCTCAATCTGAGGATAGATTTCCCTCAGTCTGAGGATAGAGTCCTCTCTGTCTGAGGATAAAATTCTCTCTGTCTGAGGATAGAGTTCTCTCTGTCTGTGGATAAAATCCCCTCAATCTGAGGATAGAGTTATCTCTGTCTGAGGATAGAATTCTCTCTGTCTGAGGATAGAGTTCTCTCTGTCTGAGGATAGAGTTCTCTCTGTGTGAGGATAGAATTCTCTCTGTCTGAGGATAGAGTTCTCTCTGTCTGAGGATAGAGTTCTCTCTGTCTGAGGATAGAATTCTCTCTGTCTGAGGATAGAGTTCTCTCTGTCTGAGGATAGAATTCTCTCTGTCTGAGGATAGAGTCCTCTCTGTCTGAGGATAGAGTTCTCTCTGTCTGAGGATAGAGTTCTCTCTGTCTGAGGATAGAACTCTCTCTGTCTGAGGATAGAGTTCTCTGTCTCTGTGTGAGGATAGAGTTCTCTCTGTCTGAGGATAGAGTTCTCTCTGTCTGAGGGTAGAATTCTCTCTGTCTGAGGATAGAGTTCTCTCTGTCTGAGGATAGAGTTCTCTCTGTCTGAGGATAGAGTTCTCTCTGTCTGAGGATAGAGTTCTCTCTGTCTGAGGATAGAGTTCTCTCTGTCTGAGGATAGAGTTCTCTCTGTCTGAGGATAGAGTTCTCTCTGTCTGAGGATAGAGTTCTCTCTGTCTGAGGATAGAGTTCTCTCTGTCTGAGGATAGAATTCTCTCTGTCTCTCTCTGTGTGAGGATAGAGTTCTCTCTGTCTGAGGATAGAGTTCTCTCTGTAGGATAGAGTTCTCTCTGTCTGAGGATAGAGTTCTCTCTGTCTGAGGATAGAGTTCTCTCTGTCTGAGGATAGAGTTCTCTCTGTCTGAGGATAGAGTCCTCTCTGTGTGAGGATAGAGTTCTCTCTGTCTGAGGATAGAGTTCTCTCTGTCTGAGGATAGAGTCCTCTCTGTGTGAGGATAGAGTTCTCTCTGTCTGAGGATAGAGTTCTCTCTGTCTGAGGGTAGAATTCTCTCTGTGCGAGGATAAAGTTCTCTCTGTTTGAGGATAGAGTTCTCTCTGTCTTAGGGTAGAATTCTCTCTGTCTGAGGATAGAGTTCTCTCTGTCTGAGGATAGAGTTCTCTCTGTCTGAGGGTAGAGTCTGAGGATAGAGTTCTCTCTGTCTGAGGATAGAATTCTCTCTGTCTGAGGGTAGAATTCTCTCTGTCTGAGGATAGAGTTCTCTCTGTCTGAGGATAGAATTCTCTGTCTCTGTGTGAGGATAGAGTTCTCTCAATCTGAGGATAGAACTCTCTCTGTCTGAGGATAGAGTTCTCTCAATCTGAGGATAGAGTTCTGTCTGTCATAGGATAGAGTTCTCTCTGTCTGAGGATAGAATTCTCTCTGTCTGAGGATAGAGTTCTCTCTGTCTGAGGATAGAATTCTCTCTGTCTGAGGATTGAGTTCTCTCTGTCTGAGGATAGAGTTCTCTCTGTCTGAGGATAGAGTTCTCTCTGTCTGAGGATAGAATTCTCTCTGTCTGAGGATTGAGTTCTCTCTGTCTGAGGATAGAGTTCTCTCTGTCTGAGGATAGAGTTCTCTCTGTCTGAGGATAGAGTTCTGTTTGTCATAGGATAGAGTTCTCTCTGTCTGAGGATATAACTCTCTCTGTCTGAGGATAGAGTTCTCTGTCTCTGTGTGAGGATAGAGTTCTCTCTGTCTGAGGATAGAGTTCTCTCTGTCTGAGGATAGAGTTCTCTCTGTCTGAGGATAGAGTTCTCTCTGTCTGAGGATAGAGTTCTCTCTGTCTGAGGATAGAGTTCTCTCTGTGTGAGGATAGAGTTCTCTCTGTCTGAGGATAGAGTTCTCTCTGTCTGAGGATAGAGTTCTCTCTGTCTGAGGATAGAATTCTCTCTGTCTGAGGATAGAGTTCTCTCAATCTGAGGATAGAGTTCTGTCTGTCATAGGATAGAGTTCTCTCTGTCTGAGGATAGAGTTCTCTCTGTCTGAGGATAGAGTTCTCTCTGTCTGAGGATAGAGTTCTCTCTGTCTGAGGATAGAGTTCTCTCTGTCTGAGGATAGAATTCTCTCTGTGTGAGGATAGAGTTCTCTCTGTCTGAGGATAGAGTTCTCTGTCTCTGTGTGAGGATAGAGTTCTCTCTGTCTGAGGATAGAGTTCTCTCTGTCTGAGGATAGAATTCTCTCTGTCTGAGGATAGAGTTCTCTCTGTCTGAGGATAGAGTTCTCTCTGTCTGAGGATAGAGTTCTCTGTCTCTGTGTGAGGATAGAGTTCTCTCTGTCTGAGGATAGAGTTCTCTCTGTGTGAGGATAGAGTTCTCTCTGTCTGAGGATAGAGTTCTCTCTGTCTGAGGATAGAATTCTCTCTGTCTGAGGATAGAATTCTCTCTGTCTGAGGATAGAGTTCTCTCTGTCTGAGGACAGAATTCTCTCTGTCTGAGGATAGAGTTCTCTCTGTCTGAGGACAGAATTCTCTCTGTCTGAGGATAGAGTTCTCTCTGTCTGAGGATAGAATTCTCTCTGTCTGAGGATAGAGTTCTCTCTGTCTGAGGATAGAGTTCTCTCTGTCTGAGGACAGAATTCTCTCTGTCTGAGGATAGAGTCCTCTCTGTGTGAGGATAGAATTCTCTCTGTCTGAGGATAGAGTCCTCCCTGTCTGAGGGTAGAATTCTCTCTGTCTGAGGGTAGAATTCTCTCTGTCTGAGGGTAGAATTCTCTCTGTCTGAGGATAGAGTTCTCTCTGTCTGAGGATAGTTCTCTCTGTCACAGGATAGTTCTCTCTGTCTGAGGATAGAGTTCTCTCTGTCTGAGGATAGAGTTCTCTCTGTCTGAGGATAGAATTCTCTCTGTCTGAGGATAGAGTTCTCTCTGTCACAGGATAGAGTTCTCTCTGTCTGAGGGTAGAGTTCTCTCTGTCTGAGGATAGAGTTCTCTCTGTCACAGGATAGAGTCCTCTCTGTGTGAGGATAGAGTTCTCTCTGTCTGAGGATAGAGTTCTCTCTGTCACAGGATAGAGTTCTCTCTGTCTGAGGATAGAGTTCTCTCTGTCTGAGGATAGAGTTCTCTCTGTCTGAGGATAGAGTTCTCTCTGTCTGAGGATAGAATTCTCTCTGTCTGAGGGTAGAATTCTCTCTGTGTGAGGATAGAGTTCTCTCTGTCTGAGGATAGAGTTCTCTCTCTGTCTGAGGATAGAGTTCTCTCTGTCTGAGGATAGAGTTCTCTCTGTCTGAGGATAGAGTTCTCTCTGTCTGAGGATAGAATTCTCTCTGTCTGAGGATAGAATTCTCTCTGTCTGAGGATAGAATTCTCTCTGTCTGAGGATAGAGTTCTCTGTCTCTGTGTGAGGATTGAGTTCTCTCTGTCTGAGGATAGAGTTCTCTCTGTCTGAGGATAGAATTCTCTCTGTCTGTGGATAGAGTTCTCTCTGTCTAATGATAGATATACACCCTTAAGTACAATATCATGAACTGTATCTAAAGCAACAAACCTTTTTTTCTTTGGTAAATGTAACTTCATCGGACTTTTGTTGCCACTGCGGGATTCATGGCCGGCTGGCACTGAAAAGAAACACACATAGAAATCATTCATATATTTTCTGAAGATCTATTTTCCTGAAAAACCAAAGTTTTAGAATTTATTTCATGCCTGCCTGAATGAATTGACAGTCACTTCATCCTTTCTAGGAGGTTGCATAGTGGATTACTTACTATCAAGGTCATACCTCTTTTTCAAACTGGGTAGACTGGAGTATGAACAGAATGAGGCTTAATTCAATAACTGATGTTATCAATTTGGAAATACAAACACAAAATTCAGAAACTGCACATTTGTCAAACGAAGCACCATAAAGTGTTTCAGTTACACATTATTTTTACATTTTCTAACATCAATTTATTCTGCTTGAGATTATTTTATCTTAAACAATACATGCCATTTATTGTTAAAGTAAATGTCACTTGTCCTGTGACCTTGACAGTCTTACTAATATTGCTACTGCTCTAATGATCTTGCCATCAATTCAGTGACCTTGACCTTATGAATATTCTGACAACTATAGAAGCACCTCAAGGAAACTCAAAGAGATGGAATTTCGGATGAAGTCTGCATTCAAATTACCCAATTTTGTGAAGAAATTCTTATAATTGTGCTATAGGTATAAAGGAATTGCAAATAATTGATATGGATGTTACTAAATTTTGCAGATATTATACATACTATAAATAGCGACAGTAACCTTTGACCTGATGTAATAAAGATCGGGGGAAAAAAAGTGTCTTTGTGTGATAGTAACTCAGTACACTTAACAGACTAGAAACTTCATTCAGAACTTGAGTCTTGTTTGTTACCTTGACCTTATCGTTATCAATGGCCTTGAAATTATTCTTGTTCTTGAAAAAAATGGACAGCACAATATTGAAAACAGATAAAATAAAATGTGAAGGTTAATTAAAATATCTCCAGCACATGATATACCGTAGGTTTACTAGGTACATTTATGAATAAATTCATTTTCAAATCATGGATACATTTAAATAATTTAGATCAATTTTTTGTTTGTGTACTTTACAGATTTGACTGGTTCCATGTATTAAAACTTCAGAGAGTAATATGTTATTGGTAAAATAAAGAAGTGACAAAAATTATAACGTTTAATTCAGTTGTGAAGTTAAAAACTCAAATGAGTTCAAGCAACATTTCAGAGTTGTACAAAAATTCTACATAGTAACCTACAATGACTTCTGACCTTGCTAAAGGTTTTTAATGTCACCAACTGACTAGATTTGATCAGGTCAATCCGACATTGGTTATATAATATGCCCAACACTGTGAAAAATGCTAGAATCACTCGATAGTTATTATTCCTGATTAGTATCAAAGTTTCAGATCCAATTTTTGGATTTAATATAGTAAAATTAATGTTCAAACATAACATTGAACATCATCTAAATACAAACAGATGTGATAACTATACAACAGAATGAATTATAAAGTCTTTTTACCCGATGACCCTTAAATGCACCCTGTCACCCTTGATTTTGAAGGTCATGACCACTGGACAAGAGGTTGGCAACACCCTGCTCTACCAAACAGTACCAAACAGTGTCCTTGACACCTTAAGCTACGTATAACTAATCTAGATATTAATTGTGGTACATTTATTTTTTTTAAAATATGTGGAAGAAAAATAATGCATGCTTACTCTTTTTACACAGATGCTTAATTACAGGTGCTAGAACTTTTTTTTAAAAAAAGAAGAAAAATTAAGGATTTGTCTATAACAAAGATATAATTTGATTACACTTCATGCAATAGAGTAATTCTGATATGAATCTCCACCAATAAACCATCACAGACCCATGACACACTGCTATACTTAGTGTGTCATTGGTCTCTGACATCACCCACAGCTGTAGGCATCCATCTGTCTGTCAACAATCTATGTAAACATCACTGGCAATGGAGTGTTTATCAGTATGCTCTAGTCAGCTTAAAAAGTAGCCCATATTATATCTACAGATTAGCAAAAAAAGTATGACATTTCCACTTGTGTTTGTTCTTAAGAGATAAATCATTTCATGAAATTTACACATGGAAATAAAAATTATACATTTAATTCCTTTTTTTTCAAATCAAAATATTTCAACATAAGCATTTCGTATCACATAACAAACAGTCATCTGTACATTTTATTTATCCTTTGTTTTTCAGTGGTGTCAGTAAAAATCTCTTGTTTAATTCCATGACCAACATAGTACACATGCAGCTCACCAGATAAACCATGGCCAGCAGAGCACACAACCATACACAAACTCTAATATACAAGGCATCTGGAATTTTGTATATATATAAATATATATATGAATTTAGTATAGATATAAACTTATATTAAGACTTATAAATTTAGCTTCACATATCTCTTAAAGTCACGGACATCAAGATCACAACATACCATTATATATTTTTTTAACAAGACCATGACCTTTACTTTGACCTTGACCTTATCATGTATCTCACATGTACAAGTATTATATGATACAACTGGTAATAGATCTGAAGGCATGGCTTAAGTAATACTGTAAGTTATAGGTTAGTAACTGTTGAAAAATTGACACAATGGAAATTTGACTTTTGACCCCAGACAATACATCTGTTTTAGTTAGTTTGACAACAAAGGTATGTGTGGCACATGTCACACTATATGAAATACTCATTCATTAGTCTGAATATCAATGGTCTGGGCACACAAATACTTGGGGCCGCAACATCTCATCCATAAATGGTGTTGAGATTGCAAGTAGTTGAGAGTGTCCTTGACAGGTGTAGAAATTACAAATAGTTGAGAGTGTCCTTGACAGGTGTAAATGCTGCTACTAGTTGAGAATCTCTTTGAAATATTAAGAGGCTGCTAGTAGCTGTGTGTCTCCTCATCAGGTGTAGAGGCCACTAGTGGAGTGTCCTTGACAGGTGTAGAGGCCACTAGTGGAGTGACCTTGACAGGTGTAGAGGCCGCTAGTGGAGTGTCCTTGACAGGTGTTGAGCTGCTAGTGGAGTGTCCTTGACAGGTGTAGAGGCCACTAGTGGAGTGTCCTTGACAGGTGTAGAGGCCACTTGTGGAGTGACCTTGACAGGTGTAGAAGCTGCTAGTGGAGTGTCCTTGACAGGTGTAGAGGCCACTAGTGGAGTGTCCTTGACAGGTGTAGAGGCCACTAGTGGAGTGTCCTTGACAGGTGTAGAGGCTGCTAGTGGAGTGTCCTTGACAGGTGTAGAGGCCGCTAGTGGAGTGTCCTTGACAGGTGTAGAGGCTGCTAGTGGAGTGTCCTTGACAGGTGTACAGAGAAATGTTTTTGTGCTTAGTGGTCCAGCTCCTTGCATGTTTCAGAAAAGGTGGTAGCAAAATCAGGCAGGTGTAATTGACAGTTGTTGCCTAATGTGTACTGTATCCTGAAGGACTCATGGTTTAGGAATTACACTATGATTAAGGTTGAGTGAAACAGCTTGATTTGTATTGGTGATTTGTTTATCACAATACCACATTTATATTCCCTTATATCTACATTAGTGTGCTGCCATTACAACAATAGAAGACAGTTAATATAATGATGTGACTATAATTACACCTGTTCCTGCTGTGTCATCAAAACACTCTTGTCAGCCATTCCATATTTTGGCTATTTTATAACAGAATATATTCCCTAGTATGATTTATTTTACTCATTATAAATGCATATCTAATTACTATTGCCCAAAGTGATGTTGGTAAATGTAGACAAGACAGTCTTTTCTGAATGTAATTATTGTGGATATAATTACAAGATGCCTTTGTGGAAAATCTTTCATTAAACCATTGAGGTGTTCATGGGATTTGCCAAATGATCACTTATAATTGGAATGATATTGACTATAATTACAAAAATACTTCATCATTTAAATAATCCTATGGAACATCACATGGCACCAGATTAAAAGTAGGAAAGTGCACTTCAACTTTACCATTTGCTGATACTGTGATGGTGCCAGACACTCATGCTAATTCAAGGGGAAAGATAAGTGTCATATGCCAGTAGTCTTGACTGCTGAAACAGACTCCTCATCATACCAGTATCTATTGTTGATTATCAGTGTGAATTCAGTCATGGCAGCCTTGTCCAACTGCCAATGTGACCTTTGTGTCTTTGGAAAATCAGGAAAATGGAATGTGACTTTGGTCTTTAGAAAAATAAAATGAGACCTTAGTCCACAGAAATATGAAATGTGATCTTGGCCTTCCAAAAAATCAGAGGAGACTTTCCATCCACATCAGTGATATCAATCTCAGTACAGTGTTCCAGAATTCTGACACATAGGCCAACAGTCTGTGAGGGACTAGTGAGTAAAGGGTAGTTAGACAAGGTTCTCTTTACAATGACATTCACACAAAGATGGAGTATTGTTGGCATATCTAGCCATGACCACAATAACACAATCAAAACAACTGAAAAATTTCTTTGTTAAAAGATTCATTTCTGAAAACAGTTTAATTTTGATAAAATTGATACGTAATCATCTGGTCTCTACTTTAAGAAAGTTCTTAAATGAAACTTAATTCAACATGATATTCTGTTACAATGGATACTATACTTACCAACAGAAATATAACTCATCAGAGGTAACTGCCTTCCTTCAAGTGTTTCAATAACAGCCTAACAGTCATCTAACAATCAATGCATGTATGGACAAACCGAAGAATTGCAGACGATAGTCTGGCAAATCTGTTGAATTTCAGTGATGATATTTCTGCCTACATTTGATATAAATCCATTCAAGCTTAAGGAAGAATACAAATCATTGACTAACTTTCCCATTTGGCTCCTCACTCCCAGGTCCCTAGGGGTCAAACTTTCTGAATTTAAGAATCAATTGCCCACCTCTACTCTTAAGTTGTTACAGACATAATTTTAATGAAATCCATTCAAGCATTAGGGAAGAGCAACATTTTGAAGCAAATATTGTCGAATTTCCCCTCTTGAGGCCCAGTCCCCAAGTCCCTAGGGGTTGAATAAAATTTCTGAATTTAAGAAAGGATTCCCCACTCCCAATTATGTTTAAGACCAAATTTGGTTGAAATCTACACAGGCATTAAGAAGGAGTAGCCTTTTGAAACAATATATTGTCTAGTTTCCCCTTTTGGGGCCTCACCCCCAAGTCTCTAGGAGTTAAATCAAGTTTCTAAATAGAAGAAATAATAACCTATCACAATAATGTTTCACACCAAATTTGGTTGAAATTTACCCAAGCATTAAGTAAGGCATAGCATTTTGAAACAAAATTTTGTTGAATTTCCCCTTTTGGGGCCCTGCCCCCAAGTCCCTAGGGGTTGAATCAACATTCTGAATTTAAGAATTTATTTGCCAACCCCTACTGATGTTGCAGACAACATATGAATGAACTAAGCACTAAGGAAGAGTAGCCTTTTGAAGTAAAGTATTGTCTAACTACTCTTTAGGGGCCCCATCCCCAGATCATTAGGGGTTGAATGAAATTTCTGAATTTAAGCAATGATTCCCTACCCCCAATGATGTTTAAGACCTAATTTTGTTGAAATCTGCCAAGGCGTTAAGCAGGAATAGAGTTATAAAGGAAAAGGTGAACAGCGAATGGTGCATGACGACAGACGATGCACGCTAGCAGTAGGTCAACTTGACCCTTTGGGTCAGATGACCTAAAAATCCTTCATACAAAATAACATACTGTTTGAACACTGTATATATTACATTGTTTTCTGAAAGTGATTGTCAAAACAACTTCAGATCTACAGATATCATTAATTGATATACAGAAATTCTGATCCTGCGGATTAAGTTAGTTATCTGTTTTTTGCTTTGTGGGCAACAAAAAATAACTATCAGCTCAACCAAAAAGACAAAATCTTGTATTTTCTCCATATACAATCATAACCAAAAAGTTAAATTTCAAATTCATCTGTCCATTGTTACACAAATCATACAGACACTTTCCCAATTCTTAGATTCAATTTGCTAATGATAAACAATAAGACTTCTAAAGTCACAATATTGAAGATTTTAAAGACCTTTTCTCTCATTTCTTCCAGTGTAACACTGCTTTGTCCAGGGCAATACACATCCATCCATACAATACAGGCATGTTGGTGTAGAAATGTGACATGTTCCTTTCAATTGATGTCATGGCGCCCTTGGTAGTAGGTGTGTTGTCAAAGTCTACTCAAGCTAATATTTTTTCAATATTTTAGAATGAGAAAAGAGAGAAATAGACTCTTCCATATGTCAGGGTGAAGTATGGTACATTTTAACCTTAAGGTCACAAAATTTGGTAAAACTCTCGCCAAACCCTCAGGTTTTACGACATTTTGTGCGCCGTGTGTGAATATCTCTATCCTACAACCCAACATATGAAAGAGTCTTATAACCTGAAATGTTATCAAACTTATTGTTTTCATAATGTGTATGGTGCGATAAGTATCAAAGTAGACACCTAATTTCATTCTGTGAAGACAAAATCTAATTTAAAGAGTTAGACCCCATTTTAACATGGAACACAAGCTACCCCTAAACCATAACTACATCTTGTAGTGTGAGGTGCACTCGCTGACACTAGTAAACAATACATATCTACTCACCACCAGCCTTTATATCTCCTTATTTAACCATTGTCACATATGGACTAATATTGATCCACTTCTAATATCATGACTCAACCCCCTAGCCTAGTGATTCATTTTTTCATTGTATTCGTAGGTAAACATGAAATTCAGAAGAGATTTCTTCCTCCACGAAATAGAACCAAAGAGTAATGAAAATAAAACAAACAAAAAACCCACCTGGACATGATGTAAGTGGAGAAAAAAATCTCATTGTTTCTAACTCTGGCTATTAGATACTATGGTCAATAAAATCAATTTAACCTGTGAAAATATAAATTGTATATTCTAATGACTTTTATCTACAAACAAGGAAAAAATATCTTCTTTCCCCTTTCTTTGCAGAAATAATTCAGCTAAATTTTAAGTGCAACCAAAAGCTAATCACAGGTGCTGACAAGAATGGAGGCACCAGAAATAAGCGTGGTAAAAGCAGGGTTAATTGACACCAGACAAATCAGTATCACTTTAAAGTACTCACTGTATTCTTTTCTCTAATACATAAACTATTTATCCTACTAGGTTAATCCAGTGCATTGTTGTAGGTACAAAGGTAAAATCTTGATGACACAAAAGCCATCAATCATCATCACACTCAATCAATAAGGAGAAACAGTCAACTTTTTATATGACAAAAAAAAGCTTCTTATTTTTGGAAACCTGCTAAGGTCAAGGTCACAGATAAAACCCAAAGGTCAAAGGTTACAGACTAAGATATCCTGTAATTATCCATCTTTAATGATTATTGTTATCAAGTTTTTTCCTGTGTAACTCTAGAGATTATGAAGCTCTACAACGTTTTTTGTGCAACATGAATCACATGTGTAACCTGTCTGAGTCTGCCCCGATGCACATGCTTTACTCACTACTATTTCTCTTCCTGCGTTTCCCTAGCAACATAAAATCAATCCACATCTGATGTAGAAGAAATTAAGAAACATATCAGCAAGAAATTTCAGGATTTGTACAGAAGAGACAAAAGAATGAAAGATAGAAGGTGAATTAAGCCAGTGTTACTATTTGGATCAAAATGACAACATCAAAGACTTTCTTGATTCAAGTTAAAGTCCAAGGCTAGACCTCCAACTTTCATTCTAACAACACAAAACCTGGATGATAAGTTTTGGTATAGTACAGGTTTGGAAGTACACAGCTACTCCTATACCTTGACATACAAATTTCATACATGTAATTTCCAAAGAACCCAAAAAAGTTCATGCTTTTTACAAATTAATTGAATCACAGTAAATCCCTTTAAATTTTTGTTTTTTTTGGTCAGGATTTACATGTCTGGTCGTTCCAAGACTGAGCTGAACACAACTTCTGAACGGTGATGTGGAACTGATAAGCTTCTTCAGGATAACACAATAAATCCTCATCAGGGGTACACATGAGATTAAACTGTAAAATTATTAATTTTTCTGAGGGTTTCATTTTTGTTGATTGCACTGGCACTTTTATTAAATAACTTACATGTCTACCAGTTTATAAACTGTTATACATATTAGTATTTTTTCTTTTAGTAAACTTTGTCAGTACTGTCATCAAAATCAAAAGCCAATAAAAGTGAATTTTAGAAAAACAACGAAAATTGAAAAGTTGCTTCTGTTAGGGACAGCATCATTACGAGTGTACACAGGAGTTACTTCTGTTAGGGACAGCATCATTACAAATGTACACAGAAGTTGGTTCTGTTAGGGACAGCATCATTACAAATGTACACAGGAGTTGCTTCTGTTAGGGACAGCATCATTACGAGTGTACACAGAAGGTGCTTCTGTCAGGGACAGCATCATTACGAGTGTACACAGAAGTTGGTTCTGTTAGGGACAGCATCATTACAAGTGTACTTCATAAACACACAACTCCCTCCTAAATAATGATACTTACTTGAGGCACTTCTCAAATACTCTACATCATGAACTTTTTTCTTCTTTTTCTTAGAAAGTGTTCTACAAAGTAGAAATATATACAAATATAGCAAAAGTACATCAAAATATACATACGTCTGAAATATAGACCTGACCATCAAGTAATGATAGCATCAAACATTTACTGTACTTTCAAGTTTTCAAAAAAACTTGCAGACAGGGAATGAAAAATCAACTTGGGGTTTAACATCCTGTCACAGGTTATATAAAGAGAGACGTGGGGGCTATGAAAACAAAACGCTGTACTGTTATATCACTGACTTGTCCAAAGATTGATATAATGATTTAAATGGAGGAAAATAGTATACAAAGGAAAAGAAATTCTGAAGTAAACAATGATCCTGAATGTTGTTAATACAAGGACTGATTGATATGTTGTGAGCCTCATATTTAATGGTTTGACTTTTGACAGACATATTGCATTATTTTCAACATAATCCCATTCAGTATCTATATACACTTTTGCCATCCATGTTTAAGGGCCTCAATGCCAATTTTAAAGAAGTCCTTTTCTTGACTGTTCAGAAAGTCCTCCACTGCATGTATGATGTCATCTGACCAAAAGTGGTTACCAGAAATGGCCTTTTTCAATTTTTGGAAATAGATGAGAGTCTGATGGAGAGAGATCAGGCAAATAAGGAAGATGTTCTATCAATGCAAAGCTACAATAGTTAATGGCAGCCATGGCGATGACAGACTTGTGAACAGGAGCATTGTCCTAGAGGAACAACATACCTTGAACAGGAGCGTTGTCCTAGTGGAACAACATACCTTGAACAGGAGCATTGTCCTAGTGGAACAACATACCATGAACAGGAGCATTGTCCTAGTGGAACAACATACCTTGAACAGGAGCATTGTCCTAGTGGAACAACATACCTTGAACAGGAGCATTGTCCTAGTGGAACAACATACCTTGAACAGGAGCATTGTCCTCGTGGAACAACATACCTTGAACAGGAGCATTGTCCTAGTGGAACAACACACCATGAACAGGAGCGTTGTCCTAGTGGAAAAACATACCTTGAACAGGAGCATTGTCCTAGTGGAACAACATACCTTGAACAGGAGCATTGTCCTAGTGGAACAACATACCTTGAACAGGAGCATTGTCCTCGTGGAACAACATACCTTGAACAGGAGCATTGTCCTAGTGGAACAACATACCTTGAACAGGAGCATTGTCCTCGTGGAACAACATACCATGAACAGGAGCATTGTCCTAGAGGAACAACATACCTTGAACAGGAGCGTTGTCCTAGTGGAACAACATACCTTGAACAGGAGCGTTGTCCTAGTGGAACAACATACCTTGAACAGGAGCATTGTCCTAGTGGAACAACATACCTTGAACAGGAGCATTGTCCTCGTGGAACAACATACCATGAACAGGAGCATTGTCCTAGAGGAACAACATACCTTGAACAGGAGCATTGTCCTCGTGGAACAACATACCATGAACAGGAGCATTGTCCTAGAGGAACAACATACCTTGAACAGGAGCATTGTCCTCGTGGAACAACATACCTTGAACAGGAGCATTGTCCTAGTGGAACAACATACCTTGAACAGGAGCGTTGTCCTAGTGGAACAACATACCTTGAACAGGAGCGTTGTCCTAGTGGAACAACATACCTTGAACAGGAGCGTTGTCCTAGAGGAACAACATACCTTGAACAGGAGCGTTGTCCTAGTGGAACAACATACCTTGAACAGGAGCATTGTCCTAGTGGAACAACATACCTTGAACAGGAGCGTTGTCCTAGTGGAACAACATACCTTGAACAGGAGCGTTGTCCTAGTGGAACAACATACCTTGAACAGGAGCGTTGTCCTAGTGGAACAACATACCTTGAACAGGAGCATTGTCCTCGTGGAACAACATACCTTGAACAGGAGCATTGTCCTCGTGGAACAACATACCTTGAACAGGAGCATTGTCCTAGTGGAACAACATACCTTGAACAGGAGCATTGTCCTAGTGGAACAACATACCTTGAACAGGAGCGTTGTCCTAGAGGAACAACATACCTTGAACAGGAGCGTTGTCCTAGTGGAACAACATACCTTGAACAGGAGCGTTGTCCTAGTGGAACAACATACCTTGAACAGGAGCGTTGTCCTAGTGGAACAACATACCTTGAACAGGAGCGTTGTCCTAGTGGAACAACATACCATGAACAGGAGCATTGTCCTCGTGGAACAACACACCTTGAACAGGAGCGTTGTCCTAGAGGAACAACATACCTTGAACAGGAGCATTGTCCTCGTGGAACAACACACCATGAACAGGAGCGTTGTCCTCGTGGAACAACATACCTTGAACAGGAGCATTGTCCTCGTGGAACAACACACCATGAACAGGAGCGTTGTCCTAGTGGAACAACATACCTTGAACAGGAGCATTGTCCTAGTGGAACAACATACCTTGAACAGGAGCGTTGTCCTAGTGGAACAACATACCATGAACAGGAGCATTGTCCTAGTGGAACAACATACCTTGAACAGGAGCATTGTCCTCGTGGAACAACATACCTTTACCAAGTTTTCCACTGCATTTTAGTTTAATATTTTCTCTAAACTGCCTCAGAGGTGATGCATTATATGTTATATTGATTGTTTCCTATTTTGCAGATAATCTAGCATCATAATACCATCAGCATCCCAGAAAACTGAGACCATAAACTTTCCAGCTGATGGAACAGTCTTGCTTTCTTTGGTGGGTAATCCAGAATGCTTCCATTGTTTACACTGTTGTTTGGCCTCTGGGGTGAAATGATAGACCTACATTCCATCCATAGTCAAAAAACCCTGCTGAAAGTTAGCAGGATCTGCCTCTAAAAGGTTCATATCAGAACGCGACAAAGTCAGCCTTGTGTGCTTCAGAATTCTTGGTAGCCAACGGGCTAAGCCCACTCATTACATGATCTTCCATAAGAATGGAATATCCTCTTCCCTGTGAAATCCAAACTGTACTGGCTATATATCTCTCTGTAACTCCCCTGTCAGTCATAAACAATATTATGGACTTTATTGACTATTTTGGTGTTACACCAGTGACAGGCGTTCCAGGACGGGTGTCATCCCCAAGACTCTATCTACTACACTTGAATTCTGCCATCCACCTTTTCACTGTAGCATATGAATGGACATCATTCCCTAGTGTTACTACCATATCAGTATTGGTGCTCGACCTTACTTATGCAAATATTGAATCACTAATCTTACAGGCATTTTGCAAAAGTCACTTGCCTTGTTTACTTTCGAGTGCTACCTCTGCGACATTGACTGACAAAATGGCACTAGCTGCAGGTACACAGCCTTAAATATTCAGGGAATAGTAGAGCTGGAAAAAGATATCCCTACTTAACTTCTTCAACACATGGCTCACAACTGATCAATCAACCTTCAGACAACAAACCAAAACAGGAGCATAACATATCAAAGACATGCATATATGCAATAGAATCTTTATAGTAAGGGCTTAATATCAAACATGTGCTTACTGCGGCTTATATGTAATGATTTTAGGTATGTACACTTACTCAGTGATGAAGGGATGTTTCAGAAGCTCCTCTGCTGTAGCCCTCTTATCTGGTGAAGGATCGAAACACCTGGAAATATCAAGAGTAGAAAATATCAGTCAGTAAAACTGCCATCTGCAGGGTACATACAGGCTTGTTTTTTAATTCCTTTTTATAATACAGATTTTGAATTGAAAGTCTAGATAAATTATATGCAGGTAACTGATTGCCATACATATGCGACCTAGGTTAACTTGTTGACAAAGAGATCAGTATTTCTGTTCGAATGACACAATTGTTTGTTTCTAGCAGTCTATGGAGTCATGATAAACTTGGTCAGTAGAGCATTGAACAAACTCATTTGAAGATTGAAGGTGTGTGGTTCAGTTTAGCTCTCTTTCTCTCTCCATGCTAGTAGCTTTACGCCAAGTTTAGCTCTCTTTCTGTCTCCATACTAGTAGCTCTACTGTGAGTTTAGCTCTCTTTCTCTATCCATGCTAGTAGCTCTACTGTGAGTTTAGCTCTTTATCTCACTCAATACTAGTAGCTCTCTGTCAGGTTTAGCTCTCTTGCCCTCTCCATGCTTGTATCTCTACGCTGAGTTCAGCTCTCTTTCTCTCTCCATGCTTGTAGCTCTACGCTGAGTTTAGCTCTCTTTCTCTCTCCATGCTTGTAGCTCTATGCTGAGTTAAGCTCTCTTTCTCTCCATGCTTGTAGCTCTCTGTCTGGTTTAGCTCTCTCTCTCTCTCTCCATTCTCTTATTCTGTGAGGTCTTCTAGGTGGGTATTTGAATGTCTTTAATAGCCATTATGGCTAACCAAAAGGCTGCCTAGTGTTTTTGCAATGTGTCCCTACAGAAGCCTGCAGTATGGGGTTAGAAATCAGTTCATGAAGAGTTTTCCATTGCGGCTGTCCATTCAGATAACTCTAGTGATATATAGGGTGGTGTACTTCCTGTTAACTCACCGTAAAAGGAATGCCTTGGCATTCTGGGACATGCTTTCTGGTATCTCAGGATGACTCTTGTAAAACCCAACTTTAAACATGGCTGCCTCCGGACTTCCAAGCTGTAAAGGAATCATTTCAATCCATTCCTATAGAACATGTTATGGTTGTATCATGACAAGATAACAACATCATCTAATTTATCAAAAGGAAACTCCTTCACCATTTCAGTTTACCATTCTAACATGCTGTAGATCTGTCACACTTGCCTTCCTGGCCAACCGTATATACAACAAATACCTGTTTACATGATGGGTCCAACCAACAAAAATTGTTCCTACCTCAATAAACGGCATCTTTCCTGTAGCCATCTCTACAACAGTACATCCCAGGGACCAGATGTCAGCCTACAAAGACAACAATTATACGTTCCTGTCGTATCATCGTTCCAAGCATCCTAATCACTGTTTACATTCTGGCTTCTTCCTAGTGAAACCAACATTGACACGACCTTTGACTTTTGTATGGATATGTGACATAGCATTTAGTTAGGATATATTCAGTTGTTAAATAGCCATACAAAAATATATCTATTTCATTCATTAAACACTTCACGGGATTCTAATAAATTTGTGAGAGTTTTTAACTTTATGTTATTCATATATATATATATATATATACATTATACAAAAAAGAGAATGTATTTGAATGGATTCAAAAGCAAAATTTTAAACTGATACAACTTTGTATCTATTTCTAAAGCACATTAATTAATTGGATATCTTATCAAGGAATGAAGCAAATATTTGCAAATAGAAGTAAAGTAAAGTACAAGAGCTAAACAAATCTAAAGTTGGTTTCTCTCATAAAACTGAGAGTGTAAACAAGAGCTAAACAAATCTATAGTTGATGTCTCTCATAAAACTGAGAGTGTAAACAAGTATCAATTATTACTTTATAAAGTTAAGTAATCACAAAAAATTTGATTATGAAATATTTTTTTTATTCTTTTAATGAATCTTAAACAAACTAGATGGTAGAACAGCCAAATTTATTGTAGACTGCACAAATAAGAAAGGAATTTTGAAGACCTAACAAAAATCCTTCTGACTGTTTATAAGGTAGGATAGTAACTTACTGCTGGTCCATATCCCCGTGCTCCTTTATCAATGACTTCCGGAGCCATGTACTGTATCGTACCTGAGGGAAAAACAAAACCACATTAATACCCTCCTACTGATACTCTATTCAAATTGATTGTTTTGACAGAGAATGATGTGCTAGTTATCAAATCTGCATACCCAGAGCAATTCAATGATAATTATGAAGAGGTGGGGAGGGATGCCAATGTTTAAGAAGCAGTGTTTGAACTAAGATAAATGTTGATAGTTGTAAAGTGGGCACCATGATTCCTATTAATCTGAATGATGGGGTATAATGGTGTCAGTCTGCTCCTCTGTTGCCAATAATAGCGTGTTTGTTTCATATAATCCATCAAACTATTGTATTGTATCAATTAAAAACCTAAGGGTCATATATCCATAAATAACAAACTCATTTAGATTGATTTTTGTAGAAATTTACCAGCAAATGTATCTGCACAGGGGTTTATCCCAGACAGCCTCTTAGATGTGCCAAAGTCGGAGATCTTGAGGATGCCACTGTAGGTGTTCACTAAGACGTTATCTCCTTTTATGTCACGGTGTACAATCATACCATCATGCTACATGAAACAATATAAACATTGCTATATATTTTTATATTTTTACAACAAACCAATACATAAACTCCATCAGACTACAAAGTACTGATTTAGGAAATGCTCATGAAATACACACAGCTCCACAAGTTCCGTTACTTTTCTAGTATCACATTTATGCAGCTAAAACCAAAGTTTCACCTCGATAATGTAGGAATGTGCACTATGTAATGAATGCATAAAAAGAATCATTTTAACTCACAAGATATTTGAGTCCATCAAGAATCTGTTTGGTGTAGTATGCTATAGTAGCCTCATTGTCCTTCAGAGGTCCCCACTTGGAATGCAGGAGCTGAGACAAACTTCCTATAAATCAGTCAAACCGTGACAAAATTATAAGTATAAAGGGAATATATGTTTGCCAAATGTTGATCTTGAATCCTTTAATTTTTTTTGTATTGCTTTAATTATGTTAATAAAATTGAATCTTTATGTATTTCTGATTTTTATTATGATTTACTAATGTAACATTAATATTCATTTGCAAAATATCAGTAGATAATCCTTGTATATTAGACCTATATTAGATTATAATCTTTGTATTGTTTCGATTCTGGTCCCTAGATGAGGTTATAAAAAGTCTCACCTCCAGGCACCTGTTCCATACAGATCTTGAAGAATCCATCTTCACTGACTGAGCCCAGGTACTTGACAATGTTTTTGTGTGCCAGGCGACAATGAAGTTTGATTTCCTCGTGGAGTGGCTGCACCTCTCTGTATAAACATTTAAAAATTGAGGTTTTGTGTGCTTAATGTAATCAATGATGATTATTCATACTTGTGATAAAATGCATTATATATAAATATCATACATTTTAATAAATAACAGATTACCTTCATATTTTTTTTTTTCAAACATAAAACTTTGGCAATCAAATTGAAGCAGAGCCCATGACTGACTGGTGTAACCATTAGATCTGCCTCTAATACTCACTGATCATGCTTTTCCGGAACCTCCTTAACAGCAATGCGTACTTGAGTCTTGATGTCACGGGCAGCATATACAACACCGTATGTGCCTCGACCCAATACCACCTTATTTTTCCTCTCATCATATTCATATTCAAACTGGAAAACAGCATTAATTAAAGAATTGGTCAAAATAGTGTGATTATATTTATCTATGGCTACTTTTCTTATATAGGTATCAATTCTATTTTTGTGAGATGTATCAAACAAACAGCAACAAAACCCGATCAGGTGTTAAAATTCATGGGGCAAGAAATGAACTAAATCTATTGAATCTGATGTGATATCATGTACGTAAGAGTTTCATTCCCAAAGAGTGACCTTTGACTCTTTTAACCTTTTTGATCCTTTCATCTTGTTCAGTAACTCACAAGATCAGACGAGGTATAGAACTTGATAGTATGGTACTACAGTAAGAATAGAAACTAAATCTGCTCAAAGGTCAAGAGACATCTTGTACTTAAGCTCTTCATTTTAAAAGTGTGACCTTTGAACTTGTTCCATCTTAATTTCCTCAGCAGGAGAATGCAATACATGTAGTATGGAGTGAACATGATCTTTACCTGTTGAAGGGTATCTAACCTAACACAAGTCTTGTCACTATGGATGAAGGTCTTTTTACTACTGATGAAGGTCTTGTCACTATGGATGAAGGTCTTTTTACTACAGATGAAGGTCTTTTTACTACAGATGAAGGTCTTTTTACTACAGATGAAGGTCTTGTCACTATGGATGAAGGTCTTTTTACTACGGATGAAGGCATGTGAGGTTTGGGACACAGATGAAATGATAGGTATATACACACACCAGGCCTCTTTTGTATTTGACATGTAACATGTGCTGATATTTTTCCTTAAACCTTGTGTTGCTGAAGAGGAAGCAATGTACTAACCTCTATCTGGTCTGTTTCATCCATCAGATCAAAAACTTGGCTGTCCGTCTGGTCTGCAATCATGTTTGATACCAACTCATAAAATCTATAGAAAAACAAAACAAAACCCAGCGTTCAGTCTCCAGACAGAAAACAAAAAAGGGTAGCCAAAGAAAACAAATTCTTTCCCTCAATCTGAAAAAAATGATCTTTCTTCAAAGACCCCAAATGAGAAATCCCAATAACATTTCATCACACAAACAAACATATAAGACCAAACTAGATGGACAAAAATATCCATCTGTGTATAGATCCAGTGCAAGGAAAGTGAAAACATTGGAAGTTTTATTAAACCCTGTTAGTCGGAGTATGAGACGATTTATTTCTAAATAAGAATTTTATAAAACAACACCTGTAAAAACCATCTCTTCAACACCTTTTTATCGTTTTAAAATGTGTCAATCTGTTTTATATAAAAATTGTTCAAATGATTCATAACATATCTACACTGGCTGTGACAAACTGAAACACACCACTATAAACATACCACTATAAACACTCCCAAACACTCCACTATAAACATACCACTGTAAACACTCCACTATAAACACACCACTATAAACACACCACTATATAAACACTCCACTATAAACACACCACTATAAACACACCACTATATAAACACTCCACTATAAACACACCACTATAAACACACCACTATATAAACACACCACTATAAACACACCACTATAAACACACCACTATATAAACACTCCACTATAAACACACCACTATAAACACACCACTATATAAACACACCACTATAAACACACCACTATATAAACACACCACTATAAACACTCCACTATAAACACACCACTATAAACACTCCACTATAAACACTCCCAAACACACCACTATAAACACACCACTGTAAACACTCCACTATAAACACACCACTATAAACACACCACTATATAAACACACCACTATAAACACACCACTATATAAACACACCACTATAAACACACCACTATATAAACACACCACTATAAACACACCACTGTAAACACTCCACTATAAACACACCACTATAAACACACCACTATATAAACACACCACTATAAACACACCACTATAAACACTCCACTATAAACACACCACTATAAACACTCCACTATAAACACACCACTATAAACACACCACTATAAACACTCCACTATAAACACTCCCAAACACACCACTATAAACACACCACTGTAAACACTCCACTATAAACACACCACTCACACTATAAACACTCACTCAAACACACACACCACTATATAAACACTCCACTATAAACACACCACTATAAACACACCACTATAAACACTCCACTATAAACACACCACTATAAACACTCCACTATAAACACACCACAATAAACACACCACTATAAACACTACATTTCAGCATTTCATTTGTTCTTTTACCTTTTCCTTTGTGGCTCCGATGAGAAAAATATGTGAAAATCATCAGAGTTTTGTTGTACATAAAGAAACACTGCACGACAATCCCTCTTGTACAAACTGTAAGGAAACATCAAAACAACCATCAAAGATGTGTTTTTCATGTCAAATACAAGAGAAAGTATAAATAAAAACATTATCTAATCCAAGTTCTCTCTTGATAAAAGTCTCTCATCACAGTTATTATCTTCTCAAATTCAACTGAACAACTCAGCTATCATTTAAAGGACAAATCAATCCAAGAAATAAAAGGAAAAAATACTTTTGTGAACATTTTCCAATGCATCATCAACTCTTGTGTACCTCTCAAATATGTCATCAATTCATGAGTACCTTCCATCCAAATCACAATTCTTTGAAAAGGTGAGCTAAATATGGGGTAATAAATAATTTTCTTTTTAACAGAATACCAACCTTACACCTTTAATGGCTGTACAAGGGAAACTCCACTGGTAAGTGTTCTGAGCACCATCCTTTGGGCAAACATTCCACAGTTTTACCTCCTACAACACAAGGGAATAGCTGTTAGTCTGAAAGCAAGTCTACTAAAGAAAGGTTATCTTATCAGACAAATCAGTGTGTAAGGATGGGGAGTGGATTGGACAAGGATGAAGATGAAGACAGGGACTGGGACAGGGATGGAGAAGGGAAGGGCTACGGATGGGATAGGGACAGCATAAGAGGACAGGGACAGGGATGGAGAAGGGAAGGGCTAGGGATGGAATAGGGACAGCATGAGAAGAGGACAGGGACAGGGACAGGGACAAGAATGGAGAAGGGAAGGGCTAGGGATGGAATAGGGACAGCATGAGAAGAGGACAGGGACTGGGACAGGGACAAGGATGGAGAAGGGAAGGGCTAGGGACGGGATAGGGACAGCATGAGAAGAGGACAGGGACAGGGACAAGGATGGAGAAGGGAAGGGCTAGGGATGGAATAGGGACAGCATGAGAAGAGGACATAGACAGGGACAAGGATGGAGAAGGGAAGGGCTAGGGACGGAATAGGGACAGCATGAGAAGAGGACAGGGACAGGGACAGAGATAGGGACAAGGATGGAGAAGGGAAGGGCTAGGGACGGAATAGGGACAGCATGAGAAGAGGACACGGACAGGGATTGGGACAGGGACAAGGATGGAGAAGGGAAGGGCTAGGGACGGGATAGGGACAGCATGAGAAGAGGACAGAGACAGGGACAGGGACAGGGACAAGGATGGAGAAGGGAAGGGCTAGGGACGGGATAGGGACAGCATGAGAAGAGGACAGGGACAGGGACTGGGACAGGGACAAGGATGGAGAAGGGAAGGGCTAGGGATGGAATAGGGACAGCATGAGAAGAGGACAGGGACAGGGACTGGGACAGGGACAGGGACAAGGATGGAGAAGGGAAGGGCTAGGGACGGAATAGGGACAGCATGAGAAGAGGACAGGGACAGGGACAGAGATAGGGACAAGGATGGAGAAGGGAAGGGCTAGGGACGGAATAGGGACAGCATGAGAAGAGGACAGGGACAGAGATAGGGACAAGGATGGAGAAGGGAAGGGCTAGGGACGGAATAGGGACAGCATGAGAAGAGGACACAAACAGGGATTGGGACAGGGACAAGGATGGAGAAGGGAAGGGCTAGGGACGGGATAGGGATGGGAAAGAGTTTGTACAGGATGTGGATGGGGATGGAGACATGAGTAACACTACATAAGATTGTGGGGTATAAAAAACACTACACATACATTAGTGTCTGTATCCTCATCAATGTTAACCTGTATGAAGCAAGGCATGAATTCTTTGGTTGGCTCTAATACAAGTACCTAAAACAAACAAGATAGATTTATTCACAAATAACAGATATAAATTTACACTATAATAGAGATGTAAATGATATTTAAGAGCTTGTAATAATTAGTCTTCTTCCTGTATTTCTTAAATCCACAAAGATTAATAATTGTTACTGTTCAGAGCTTTAAACCTAAATGTTTTTTTTCAGACCATGCATAGTTACATGATATCATTAGCTAATAATTTCCAATTTTCCCAGTTGAGGCCACTTCATTAAATGTTGTGCAACTCCACTTTTATCAGTAAACAGAACAAAAAGCAAAAAAATACTTTTTGTATTTCAGGAAGAATTAAACACTGGGTGAAAACATATATCTTAATGACGGGTTGAAAATAACCCCAGGCAAATGTTCCCCCTTCCCCATACTGATGTAACACATAGTAGTGGTCCTTACAAACAGAGCTAAATTAGGAATACATACTGGAAACAGGATTCCTTTTGAAGCCATTTCAGTCTGTGTGGCTGCGGCAAAAAACTCCATCCAGAAAGTAAAGAGCTGTTGAGAGTAGAAACCAATTATAGACTCTTATGCTCTGGACAAAATAGTCACAGAAAATAAAACGTAGTTAAAAACACCCTGCTATATTTATTTTTTATGGAATGCAAGTTCAAATAAGTTATTTCTATTCCCTGTCAATCATTCAAAATTTTCTGCATCAGAATTTTACAACTAAATATAACTGACATTTTTTAATAATAAGTGGATGGAATGCAATACTAAAGCACTCTAAGGAGACAGAAAATATAGGTCACAATGACCCACTTGTGACATGCATTTCGTACCAGTTTTTCCTGCACTGGGTTTGGCTCCTCCTTCCTAAACCTCATGATAAGACTGATATTACCTACTGTAGACTTCAGATACCTGCAGAGAAAAAAGTGACAATCAAAGTCATGAAATAAAAGTCCGTTAATATGTTTGTAAGAATATTGTGAAAAATTAATCAAAGTGTCGAGGACACTCATAGACACTGTGTATGATGTGTATTGAAATAAAGAAAGTGGTGTATCAGTGTGGAATGGCATATGATCTACAGTGATTGGTCATGCTGATCATATCTTTATCTTCTACGAAGTTCAAGACATAGAGTCATGATAAGATCTTCATATGATCATTATGGTGGAGGAGTGTGATTGGAGAGGTAATAACTGATTGTGCCCAGTCAAGTGTGACTCCAAAATCTGCACCTTTTGCAGTGTAGTGAACCGTTATAGGCCACTGAAGGTTTAAAGCAGTGAACTCTCATAGAATTGGTTGAATACTTTATTGTGTTCATGAAGATGCCCAAACTCTGTATATGAAAGCAATCGGTATATGGAGCATGGAATGGAATAACACAGAATGTGTATTATATAAAGAAGAATAGTGTTTCATTACATGTATTGGTAAGATAATTGTGTAATAATTATTCTCCCTTTTATGAGACGATATATGCTTCGTAAGCATCAATAAGATCGACAATAATAAATAATGAATTCAATCCCTAGTCCGATGATAAGTCTCACACTCCGCATACTAATATGTCAACGCTAACTTCCACTAATACACATGAAAACAGACATGTGCTTATGGCTTCTGCTTTGTCACAATATCCGACATGAAGGAAAATAAAATGAAACCTGTCAATTTCCTAACAGTGGAACATGTTAGTGTTTCAAAAGATAATCAAATTATAATCAAAATATTTTTCAAAGTCCCAAACAGGCAACTGTCTTTGTCGATCTTTAGTTTTCTGTCTGTCTAGTTTTTATCACGTTTTCAAACACTTAGTCCAGGTTTTGCAAGATACTCAATCAGATAGTCTGCATCAATATATACAGTCATTATTTATTACTAATTTTCTTGGGGGGTATTTCAGCTGTGATATATCTTCAATTTGGGCATTTTACTTCATTATGTAAATCGTAAGTCCCCCAAGAATTCTATTTGGCAGTAAATAGTTAAGTTGCTTCTCTTCAGGTACATAGCTCGGCCAGCAGCTTCGATATCTTGACAGTGTATTCAAGCATTTACTTGTTGGCTGGGTAATACTGAAGTTTTGGCAAGCTCTACAGCTGTTATGGCCCCTTAGCCCATATTATTATAATTTAATAAACTACTGAGATTCCTCGCAATGTGCCTCTGTGTAATTTGTTCATCAATAAAATTAGGTCACTACTGATTTGATGACACTATACGTACCAGTCTGGTGGTTCCAAATTAAACATACACTCAGCAGCTTGAATAGCCTTGCCATACTCCTCAGCTAGGACAGAGATCTCAAAGAATGTGGCCACATCCCAGTAGTCTGACAGGGACTGCAGGCTTCCCTTCTTACCAATCAGGTTGTTTAACACTAAACCTGAGTAAAAACAGATAAAAACACCTTTTAGAATATCGGCAATTGGAATACTATGTATACATTTACATATCTTATTCAAATTACATCATATACGGAAATCTATAAATACTCATCACACATTTTATTCACATGTCACAATACTATGTCCACTATTTATAGAATAGGGTACCGCATTTCAAGTCACAAAAGATCTGTATTTGTCATCCTGATGAAGTCCGGCTGATACCAGTAGATGGTACAAATTACCTGATGCTGTGACTGATATATCTGACTACATTTTATTCACTTTACAGTGTAGATATAAATATATATCTAAACAAACTACCAAATATTATTTAAGGAAAACAAACAAACTTTCTACAAATGCTTCCGTTTTTTTTTTACATATTCAATCAGTCAACATTTGATAACATAGTTTAAATCCTGTGTAATGGTCAGAGCGATCGTGTTTTTACTTCTTTTTCAGGAATATTTCTGATCTATAAAGAAATCTTTTACTGCTTGTCAAATTCTTTACCTATCCTTTGCAGTTCAGAACAATTTGAGAACCGTTTGCCTGAAATCACCAACAGCGTTGCCAAATTGATCCCTGCATACTCATGTGGTTGTTTCTCAAATCCTTTACGATACCTGTAAATGAATTCAGACATTCTAACATGTATTCAGGAAATTGAATATCTGTTAATTTTAGAACATTTTCCTTGTCGAAATTAATTGTGTAGAGAAGTAGATCTACTGAATCTTGAATTTGATTTTAATTTTCCAATTCATCGAATTAGACTGTAATTTTTTCTTTTTCCTCCAAAGGATCGGAAAAAAATAATTGTTTTAGCAAAAAAGACCAAATGAAATAATGAGTCTTTGGAGAAGCAAATTATTAGGAGTGTGAAATAAACCAAATCTAAATTAGATCTTCAATCAACTTACCATTCTATGGCATTTTGTAGACAAGTCTGGTCCTTGTAGTCAGAGTCCACAAACATGTCCTTATGTATCCGACCACAAAGACACAAGATATCTGGGGTCTGATTGTCCGGAACCGCTAACACCTGTAAAACCACAAATGGTACACTCATACTTGGTTCAAATCTTGATCAAATGCTCCACATCACGTGTCTGTAAATTGAATCATATAACTACTTAAAAAAATCAAAGATGAAGAATTTTCTGTTCAAAGGCTGACAACAGAAAATTACATGGAAATTACTTACTTGATTGATAACTTTGAGTGCCTTTTCTCGGTCTCCATTTTTGTTTCTCCTGAAATGTGAAAATCACTTCAAATAAAATACAGTAGAATGCACAGCACTGAAAATGGTTACATAAAATTATACAGTAAAACTTTTCAGTAATGAGCTGTATAGCATGATACTCTATCTGTTTCACATAACACAGCGACCTATTCTTCCATCTTCTTTACTTCAGGGAATAGTCTTAGGACAGGAATTAAAAAGTATCAGAATGACTAATAAAATATCCCAAATATTGCATTACAAATCTTTTGATATTAATGAAAAACAGAATCAAGTAATTTTTGACTGTATAGGAAAAGCAGACCACTAAAATGAAGCTAACATCTTTATCTTTAGATAAAACCATCTTTAACATAACTGATAGAATGTTATATTTATACTCCCCTAATACTTTCATATGAACTTTCCTGAAGCAAAATAAAATGAGAGCATTTCTATGTTTTGGCTTCAGATTTTTCTTGTCTCCAGAATATTTGGGTTTTCAAAAGGATTTATTTCTAAAGTGCATCAAGTTAGAGCAGTTCTTGTTAAAATTGCATAATGTTTTTCAATTCAATGACTCCAATATCTTATGCAAATTAGTTTGTTATGTTCTTTTAAAGCTAAGTGTGAGATTGACCTTGGACTTTGGCACACACAATTCATCCAAGGCATTTTCATACTTATACTTGACTGTTGTATCAAATGTGACAAAAAAGCTATTACATAGATTCTGGACCAAACAGAAGAGAACAAGATACCCCAAATGTGTAACAATATTGTCAAGGCATTTTGTTTCAAATTTTTGTTGTTTTATCCAACATTTTAAAAAGGATGTATTTTTATGGAAGACATGAAGTAGACTATAATTTTGTCTATCAATTCTTTTCCACAATATCTTTATTTTTTCACAACTTCAACTTTGAAATAAGCAAACACTAGAAAATGTCTCCCAGATAAGAATGCCCCTGCTCCTCGACAAACCAGAGTCTGATCAGTAATAAATCTACTGGGTAAATATGAAACAAATCTGTTGAGAGGTTCTTAAGCTATAACATTGATTTGGACCAGGATGCAGTATGATGAAGCAGACAAACACTACTATATGTCCCCTATAAAACGGCCAGGAACAATAAGAATAGGATACCCCTAAATCAACAACCTGTAGATCGTGTGGTTCCTTCTAACACAGTGGAAAATTAAACATAAAAAAAGAGAATATTCTATTGGTGGTATTGATTTGAGCTGCTTACCTGTTGAGGGCAAAAGCATACTGATACATGACCATTGTTTGGCCATGTATTTTATTGTTGGGTATATGTTCCAGGTCCTCAATCAGTTTAACCATAGCGTTATAGTTCTGTGTAAAAACAAAATGAGAACCTTCATTTCTATATGGAACTTCCTCCCCGCCAATCTTTTTCTGGTATTTTTACTTCAGTGCACATGGAATGGTTCTAATTTGTATGTTTTCTTGCAAAGGACAAAATTATAATTGTATCTATCAAAACTTTGAATAAAGTCTGATGAAAAAAATATAGTATTTGTCACGTAAGCATGTATAGTTTGTCTATAAATGGTAAGTTTTAATTTTAGTTTGTTTTGCGGTGTAAGGACTCTTAATTGTCCGCACCACTGGGCGGATATACGTCACGGGCTTGACCGGTTGTGCACGAAATGGACACTTGTTTACGGTCCACAGTTTTGTGAGTTCGTGTAACCGATATGTAAATATAGCTGTTTCCGATATTGTGAACAAGGCACAGACGACAGACTGTGGTAAGTTATGTTTCTTTCTTCCGTTTCCATATGTTTTTTTTTTTGGCATTATTTTATCCATGCCGTCAAATCTATCGGGTCAAGCAATCGAGGTGTCGGTGCGCTCCAATCATGCGTAACTATTGTTGATACATGTAGTACACTTGTTTTGTGGTGTGTTTCTGCTATATCATTTTAATTTCATACTTCCTATTGATTTCTGGTGTATTTAGATAATATAAACATAATAGATTGTTGTGTGTAGAATTATTTAATAAATATAGGGTTCTTGTCCGTTTTAAAATTCTATGGAAGCTCTGAGCTAGAGCTAGAGCTATAGCGTTAGTTGGAGTGTGTACGCGCACTGGGTAAAAAAGTATGGAAGCCGTGAGACGCCAACTTCTATGAATTGTGCTTAGTCGTGTTTTTATAGCCATTTGGAGCCGCACACGTATCCCTTTATCTTTATTATATTGATTTACGTATATTTACAATATATTAATGAATATTTATATTATTGATAATTAATTATTAGTTAATTAGTATGCCAGGTGAGAGTGAATCTGTGTGACTACAGCATTATTTTCCACTATGTATTATTGTAGCTTCACATAACGGACTAGGATTCTCAGCTATCAAGCCAGGACCAGTCAGCTGTGCCAACTCATTGTGACTCCAGCGTCAGGACCGACCGGATAAGTTCTCTTCGCCAGGGTCAAGGTCAGCATGGAATACATGTGTTGGGTCGTTACGTAGGCCAGGGTCAGCGACTTGCTTGGAGGCTGAGTCACAGTATATCTACTATTGGGATGGCTGTCGTGTCAAGGACACTAGTGTGTACATCCCAGCTTTCCTGTCGTGTCTTGGACACTAGTGAGTTTGCCAATTTGGGCGTTTCAAGCAAGCATGGTGCTGCTTGAATACCTCTTGAATTGTGGTTGCAATTAGTGAACTTGTAATAATTGTGTTTGTGAATGAGTGAATTAGTGAGTGTGACGTGTGGGTATTATAGGTTTTTTTTTTATTTAATCTCTTTATTGTCATCATTGTAAATAAACATTTGTCATTGCAATCAATCTTTTCGGTGTTCATTCCCCGGATCGCTGACCGACGCTCGTTCCACGTTAACAGTATTCATGCTTAAAATATTCTTCAAAACTTCATTAACAAAATTTTTCTTTAAATTAAAAAAATATTGTGTTGATCAATTTTCAATTATTTAGGGCTGTTCCAGTAAAACATGAACTTGACCTCAAAATGGGTCACTTCTGTCCATCCTTCAGTTTTATAACTATTACTTGTAAGCAAATTTTCCATTAAATTCTATTAAAGTACCCCTAAACAAACCAAATGTCCTGGGCAGGAAAGATGTTTTACTGGAAAAGCCCTTATCAAATTTCAGACTTTGTTTGATCATAATAATTGATAATGACAAAGTGAGAATGCACTAAAATCCTATGCTGCAGCCAATTTATCCAAGCTCTCCATGAAATGCAGAGAAATAGCAGTGTGTCATGAATCAATCAATCATTTTCATAATTAAGAACATTAAATTTTTGTATGTGTGAAAGCAAGTGCTGTTTCATCAGTCTTCTGCAGAGAAAGGAGAGATATAACCTACCTGAGAGTCCCGGAATGAGATTAACATGTTTACTACAACATCAACAGAGAGCAGCTGTGGGTCGTCCAATCTCGTCCGCAACCTCTCCAACACCTGTAACAGAGATTAATATATAACAAAATAAAGAAATCAACAATTCATTGCTGTCTACCTTACATGAGTATGCTTTGGAGCAAATATCCTGGGCCTTTTGGTTATTGACAAGAAGTGAATTGATGACATTGATATATCAAGTTGTAGTTTAAACAAAATCTATTGTATATTTCAAAAATATTACACATACCACGTACTGGTGCAATATGTTTACAATTTGTACACAATACCTACCCTGATCAGGAGGATTATAACAATAGGCCCAGAGGGCCTGCATCTCTCACCTGGATCTTTATGACCAACATTACTATATCTGTGCATATGTTCCATGTTTAACACATTTGACCCTCTAGGCCTTCTGGTATTTTGGAAGAAGTTGTTTAAAGGTTTTTACACATTTGACCTCTGTGACCTTGAATATGGGTCAAGGTCATTTCTTTTTGTAATCTTTGTTTGGCTTCATCAAAGGAACCTTAAAACCAAACTCTTCGCCTTTCGGTATTTCAACAAAAGTTGTTTAAATGAAAAGTTGATGGACGCCAGACGGACTGACGACGGACCACAGACGACGAACAACGGACAGACAGATGACAGACGCCGCACTATGGCATAAGCTCACTTGGCCCTTTGGGCCAGGTGAGATAATAAAGATTATTGAAAATTCAAACCATATCGAACGAGTCCATCGTTTCACCAGAGCAATGAGTGACTACAGATAATGTGAAAATAAGTACTAATGCAGAAATATTCATTGAGTATTGTTTTAAAAGTTAAGTTTTTATACTGATCAACCAAAACATATATTCATTAAATATATTAGTATGTAACACTTTCTATTTTTATCTGTTAAATTAAATCAGTGTCTGGACTAGTCAACTTGCTTCACTTCTACAAATTGAACCCCGTCTAAACCAACCCCATGTCCCATGCATGGTCATTATGGGGAAGTTCCACTGTGTAATGAATAATTTCATGTGGCAATGTTTGTTTGTTAGCTAGGTTTGCTATCCACAGGTCATTTGGAGAAGGGTTTGTTTGTAGTGAGCTGGTAGATATCTCACTTCACAACATGCAATAGGCCATCCAGATGGGATAAAGTGTCTTTCCAAGGGACACAATCATGACAACACCGACTTGTCGCAGCTACCTCAGAAACACAAACCACCATTGGAAGGGACACAATCATGACAACACCGACTTGTCGCAGCTACCTCAGAAACACAAACCACCATCGGTAGGGACACAATCATGACAACACCGACTTGTCGCAGCTACCTCAGAAACACAAACCACCATCGGTAGGGACACAATCATGACAACACCGACTTGTCGCAGCTACCTCAGAAACACAAACCACCATTGGTAGGGACACAATCATGACAACACCGGCTTGTCGCAGCTACCTCAGAAACACAAACCACCATTGGTAGGGACACAATCATGACAACACCGACTTGTCGCAGCTACCTCAGAAACACAAACCACCATTGGTAGGGACACAATCATGACAACACCGACTTGTCGCAGCTATCTCAGAAACACAAACCACCATTGGTAGGGACACAATCATGACAACACCGACTTGTCGCAGCTACCTCACAAACACAAACCACCATTGGTAGGGACACAATCATGACAACACCGACTTGTCGCAGCTACCTCAGAAACACAAACCACCATTGGTAGGGACACAATCATGACAACACCGACTTGTCGCAGCTACCTCAGAAACACAAACCACCATTGGTAGGGAGCATCAAAATACAGACTAAGGATCTTCATCTGAGGTTGCACAGTACAACACTCTACCCAATGGGCTATATCAGCACTTGTATTTATATGCAATTTATTTCTATGCAAAACAAATTCTAGTATGATTAACTTCCTCAATTTCAGTAAAACTATACAGTCCAAACTAAACAGGTTAACAATAGTTCTTACCTTCGCTAGCTCTTCCCCTTTAAACTGCTCTCGAGCTTTACGAAGGTCACAAAGGAACCTCTCTTTCTGGTGGGTTCTGGACATAGAACAATTTCAAAACTTACATTATTTATCATTTAAAAAATAAATGTTCACACAAACTACAATATTTACAAGTGTTACCAGGTGTAACCTTACAAAGTCAGTTGTGTATTACTATCTCAGAAACTACCCATGTTACAATGTTAACACATTGAGGCTGATTTTCTTCCTAAAAAGATGAAAATTGAAAATGATAAAGATAGACATTGAACTGCTTTAAGGTGGTATTCCTTGGAATAATGAATGAATTTCCATTTATCTTGACAGAATTCATCTTATCTAAGAAAGCATTTCAATGTTCAATGTTAATCAAACTATTCCATCTTACAGCACACTTACACTGTGTATTTCTCAACATCACTGAGGGCCTTTTTGAGTTGGTGAAAGAGTGACATGCCTTTTTCTGGATGTGTACAGCTGTCAGATGGCAGAGCAGGACTGGAGGCTTCTACCACCACACATGTTCCATAGTTGTCCAACACGTAGGGCAGGAACACCACACCTGTCCCACACGACAGCTACAAGTACACACAGGTATGTTAGGTTGATTTCACATGAACAAGTATGACTCATAAGGTAAAGCACAGTGACATACCTTTATATTACACTAATACTTGGGTATCAGTGGTTCTACTTAAGAGGTATGGTTACCTGACTATGGCTACCTGACTATGGTTACCCGACTATGGTTACCCTATGGTTACCTGACCTAGGGTACCCGACTATGGTTACCCGACTATGGTTACCTGACTATGGTTACCTGACTATGGTTACCCGACTATGGTTACCGACTATGGTTACTTGACTATGTTTACCTGACTAAGGTTACCTGACCATGGTTACCTGATTATGGTTACCCGACTATGGTTACCTGACTATTGTTACCTGATTGTGGTTACCCGACTATGGTTACCTGGCTATGGGTACCTGAATATGGTTACCTGACTATGAGTACCTGACTTTGGCAACTAGTGTTGTAAATCAGACAAAAAAATTAAAATCTATTATTGAAGAGCTGCCTTTCAAATGCTCTACCAAATGAAAAGCAACAGTTCTGCTAAAGAGGTATTGATACCTTGCTATGGGTACCCGATACCTTGATATGGGTACCCGATACCTTGATATGGGTACCCGATACCTTGCTATCGGTACCTGATACCTTGATATGGGTACCCATTACCTTGCTATGGGTACCCGATACCTTGCTATGGGTACCTTGCTATGGGCACCTGATACCTTGCTATGGGCACCTGATACCTTGATATGGGTACCTGATACCTTGCTATGGATACCCGATACCTTGCTATGGGTACCTTGCTATGGGCACCTGATACTTTGATATGGGTACCTGATACCTTGCTACTGGTACCTGATACCTTGCTATTGATACCTGATACCTGCTATGGGTACCTGATACCTTGCTATGGGTACCTGACTTTGGTAACTAGTGTTAAGAGCTGCCTTTGAACACTTAACTGGAAATCATTAAAGTTTCTCGAAACATATATTTATCATGTGTTTATAGTATCTACATATATTATATTCATAAGTAGACATGAAAAATTTCTTTGCATTTTTGGTTCTCCAAGAAAAAGCAAGGTGTCTAATTTCTATAAAAAAAAAGTGAGGTTGGGTGATCAATTCAAATTAGCACTACCTTAATAAAAAGTTTTGCCAAAAACCAGTTGTTTGCTCATCTACTCTTACAAAGGTGGCATATTGCCCTTTTCAAAACCAAATTTGATTTGGTTTGTGTGCATGACCTTTGAACACCTTGGCATTTCCTTGATAAAACAAATTTCCATACATAGTAGTTAAATGGCCCCAGACACAAAAACAAAATGTCAATCTCAATGTTGTGAACAGCCATGTTTATTTTCCTGCTAGTGCCCATACACGAGTTTTTACATTAGTCACATGATTTATTAACATCATCATTCTAACATTCTAGCATAAGTTGCCTTTGAAATTCTGACAAATATCAGGCTGTAAACAATTGTTCACAACTATATGCAAACTCACCACTCTCTAGGTTGACACTAGCTTTACTTTGTTTCCTTGTTTTATTTATTCTGCTGCAAAAGTGATGCACTAGGCATGGATAACAGAAAATTCCTGAAATTTATGGAATTTTCCAATAACTGAATTTTCAAATTCACAATCGAGTACTTTACATTTAAATAATTGATTTATATTAGACTTATTTTTCAAATATCAGCACATCACTTATTAATCTGCTTATGGTAACCTGAATACAGTTAATAACCAAAGTATGGTTAACTGACTGGTTATCTAACTATGGTTAACTGACTATGGTTACCTGAGTATGGTGACTTACAGGAATATTGTTACCCAACTATAGCCACCTGACTATGGTTACCTGATTATGGTTACCAGAGTATGGTTAACTGACAATGGTTTCCTATGTATGCTAACCTAAATATTGTTACCAGACTAGTCACCTGACTATGGTTACCTGATTATGGTTACCTAGATTCTCAATTTACCTATGATTAACTGAATATTGTAATATGGGTATTGTTACCTTGTTATGGTTACCTAGTTAAGGTTACCATGGTATGCTTACTGTGTTAAGGTTATCTAGTAATGATAACCTAGATATGAATATAAAGCAGTTTTACCTTTAAAGAAAGTGACTGTTCAGGGTCTGTGTCATGAAAAAGAACAATGTTGTGTTTCATGCCCATGCTCTGACGTACTCCGATGTGGTAGAACAGTGCAGATTGTTGTACAGATATAGACATATCCACAACAACCACGTCTGCATTGTAAAAATTGTCAAGAATGTCTGTCTCCCCAAAGTCGAGTTTCTGAAACTGTAGGTGCTCCAGCAGCGACACACTGAGACTATGAATACAAGGAAAGAAAATATAACAAAAAAATGCTATTTTCACTCATAAAACCAATGTATGCAAATTATGCACTGTAGTTTAATATTCATAATGACCGGCTTACACATTTTCCTTTTAAATCTTAATTCAAAAGGCAACATAGCTTCTGCATTTGAAAATTGTTTTTTGCATTGAACACCTTTCATTGTTGTATGTGATAGTTTGACTGAGATTGTTCTGCCCTACTTCCCTGGATACAAACACATAATCTGACTTCCATTTGTCCGTTTACCACATGGTAAATTTTGATCCAAATTTTTTAAAAAATCAACAGATTTAAGTTGAAGAACACTGACATAGTCACCTTCAGAAACAAACATACATGTAATTTTTTTAAAAAGAAATTACAGTGAAATAATAAAATATTGTACAGTTGTCTACAATCCCAAAGAAAGGTTTTTACTGCTATAAATAATCATAATCAGTTGTCTACAATCCCAAAGAAAGGTTTTTACTGCTATAACATAAATAATCAGACAATCCCAAAGAAAGGTTTTTACTGTCATAAATAATACAATCCCAAAGAAAGGTTTTTACTGCTATTACTGCTATAACATAAATAATCAGTTGTCTACAATCCCAAAGAAAGGTTTTTACTGCTATAACATAAATAATCAGTTGTCTACAATCCCAAAGAAAGGTTTTTACATAAATAATCAGTTGTCTACAATCCCAAAGAAAGGTTTTTACTGCTATAACATAAATAATCAGAAGTTGTCTACAATCCCAAAGAAAGGTTTTTACTGCTATAACATAAATAATCAGAAGTTTTCTACAATCACAAAGAAAGTTTTTTTCTGCTATAACATAAATAATCAGTTGTCTACAATCCCAAAGAAAGGTTTTTACTGCTATAACATAAATAATCAGTTGTCTACAATCCCAAAGAAAGGTTTTTACTGCTATAACATAAATAATCAGAAGTTGTCTACAATCCCAAAGAAAGGTTTTTACTGCTATAACATAAATAATCAGTTGTCTACAATCCCAAAGAAAGGTTTTTACTGCTATAACATAAATAATCAGAGGTTGTCTACAATCCCAAAGAAAGGTGTTTACTGCTATAACATAAATAATCAGAAGTTGTCTACAATCCCAAAGAAAGGTTTTTACTGCTATAACATAAATAATCAGTTGTCTACAATCCCAAAGAAAGGTTTTTACTGCTATAACATAAATAATCAGTTGTCTACAATCCCAAAGAAAGGTTGTCTACAATCCCAAACAAAGGTTTTTACTGCTATAACATAAATAATCAAAGTTGTCTACAATCCCAAAGAAAGGTTTTTACTGCTATAACATAAATAATCAGTTGTCTACAATCCCAAAGAAAGGTTTTTACTGCTATAACATAAATAATCAGTTGTCTACAATCCCAAAGAAAGGTTTTTACTGCTATAACATAAATAATAAGTTGTCTACAATCCCAAAGAAAGGTTTTTACTGCTATAACATAAATAATCAGAAGTTGTCTAAAAGAAAGGTTTTTACTGCTATAAGAAATCAGTTGTCTACAATCCCAAAGAAAGGTTGTCTACAATCCCAAAGAAAGGTTTTTACTGCTATAACATAAATAATCAGTTGTCTACAATCCCAAAGAAAGGTTTTTACTGCTATAACATAAATAATCAGAAAGGTTGTCTATAACATAAATCTACAATCCCAAAGAAAGGTTTTTACTGCTATAACATAAATAATCAGAAGTTGTCTACAATCCCAAAGAAAGGTGTTTACATAAATAATCAGAAGTTGTCTACAATCCCAAAGAAAGGTTTTTACTGCTATAACATAAATAATCAGAAGTTGTCTACAATCCCAAAGAAAGGTTTTTACTGCTATAACATAAATAATCAGTTGTCTACAATCCCAAAGAAAGGTTTTTACTGCTATAACATAAATAATCAGAAGTTGTCTACAATCCCAAAGAAAGGTTTTTACTGCTATAACATAAATAATCAGTTGTCTACAATCCCAAAGAAAGGTTTTTACTGCTATAACATAAATAATCAGTTGTCTACAATCCCAAAGAAAGGTTGTCATAAATAATCAATCCCAAAGAAAGGTTTTTACTGCTATAACATAAATAATCAGAAGTTGTCTACAATCCCAAAGAAAGGTTTTTACTGCTATAACATAAATAATCAGTTGTCTACAATCCCAAAGAAAGGTGTTTACTGCTATAACATAAATAATCAGAAGTTGTCTACAATCCCAAAGAAAGGTTTTTACTGCTATAACATAAATAATCAGAAGTTGTCTACAATCCCAAAGAAAGGTTTTTACTGCTATAACATAAATAATCAGAAGTTGTCTACAATCCCAAAGAAAGGTTTTTACATAAATAATCAGAAGTTGTCAAAGAAAGAAAGGTTTTTACTGCTATAACATAAATAATCAGAAGTTGTCTACAATGCCAAAGAAAGGTTTTTACTGCTATAACATAAATAATCAGAAGTTGTCTACAATCCCAAAGAAAGGTTTTTACTGCTATAACATAAATAATCAGAAGTTGTCTACAATCCCAAAGAAAGGTTTTTACTGCTATAACATAAATAATCAGAAGTTGTCTACAATCCCAAAGAAAGGTTTTTACATAAATAATCAGTTGTCTACAATCCCAAAGAAAGGTTTTTTACTGCTGTAACATAAATAATCATAAGTTGTCTACAATCCCAAAGAAAGGTGTTTACATAAATAATCAGAAGTTGTCTACAATCCCAAAGAAAGGTTTTTACTGCTATAACATAAATAATCAGAAGTTGTCTACAATCCCAAAGAAAGGTTTTTACTGCTATAACATAAATAATCAGAAGTTGTCTACAATCCCAAAGAAAGGTTTTTACTGCTATAACATAAATAATCAGAAGTTGTCTACAATCCCAAAGAAAGGTTTTTACTGCTATAACATAAATAATCAGAAGTTGTCTACAATCCCAAAGAAAGGTTTTTACTGCTATAACATAAATAATCAGAAAGGTTTTTACATAACATAAATAATCAGAAGTTGTCTACAATCCCAAAGAAAGGTTTTTACTGCTATAACATAAATAATCAGAAGTTGTCTACAATCCCAAAGAAAGGTTTTTACTGCTATAACATAAATAATCAGTTGTCTACAATCCCAAAGAAAGGTTTTTACTGCTATAACATAAATAATCAGAAGTTGTCTACAATCCCAAAGAAAGGTTTTTACTGCTATAACATAAATAATCAGAAGTTGTCTACAATCCCAAAGAAAGGTTTTTACTGCTATAACATAAATAATCAGAAGTTGTCTACAATCCCAAAGAAAGGTTTTTACTGCTATAACATAAATAATCAGAAGTTGTCTACAATCCCAAAGAAAGCTTTTTACTGCTATAACATAAATAATCAGAAGTTGTCTACAATCCCAAAGAAAGGTGTTTACTTGTCTATATCCCAAAGAAAGGTTTTTACTGCTATAACATAAATAATCAGTTGTCTACAATCCCAAAGAAAGGTTTTTACTGCTATAACATAAATAATCAGAAGTTGTCTACAATCCCAAAGAAAGGTTTTTACTGCTATAACATAAATAATCAGAAGTTGTCTACAATCCCAAAGAAAGGTTTTTACTGCTATAACATAAATAATCAGAAGTTGTCTACAATCCCAAAGAAAGGTTTTTACTGCTATAACATAAATAATCAGAAGTTGTCTACAATCCCAAAGAAAGGTTTTTACTGCTATAACATAAATAATCAGAAGTTGTCTACAATCCCAAAGAAAGGTTTTTACTGCTATAACATAAATAATCAGAAGTTGTCTACAATCCCAAAGAAAGGTTTTTACTGCTATAACATAAATAACCAGTTGTCTACAATCCCAAAGAAAGGTTTTTACTGCTATAACATACATAAATAATAATCAGTTGTCTACAATCCCAAGAAAGGTTTTTACTGCTATAACATAAATAATCATTTTTACTGCTATAACATAAATAATCAGTTGTCTACAATCCCAAAGAAAGGTTTTTACTGCTATAACATAAATAATCAGTTGTCTACAATCCCAAAGAAAGGTTTTTACTGCTATAACATAAATAATCAGAAGTTGTTACAATCCCAAAGAAAGGTTTTTACTGCTATAACATAAATAATCAGAAGTTGTCTACAATCCCAAAGAAAGGTTTTTACTGCTATAACATAAATAATCAGAAGTTGTCTACAATCCCAAAGAAAGGTTTTTACTGCTATAACATAAATAATCAGAAGTTGTCTACAATCCCAAAGAAAGGTTTTTACTGCTATAACATAAATAATCAGTTGTCTACAATCCCAAAGAAAGGTTTTTACTGCTATAACATAAATAATCAGTTGTCTACAATCCCAAAGAAAGGTTTTTACTGCTATAACATAAATAATCAGAAGTTGTCTACAATCCCAAAGAAAGGTGTTTACATAAATAATCAGTTGTCTACAATCCCAAAGAAAGGTTTTTACTGCTTTAACATAAATAACCAGAAGTTGTCTACAATCCCAAAGAAAGGTTTTTACATAAATAATCAGAAGTTGTCTACAATCCCAAAGAAAGGTTTTTACTGCTATAACATAAATAATCAGTTGTCTACAATCCCAAAGAAAGGTTTTTACTGCTATAACATAAATAATCAGTTGTCTACAATCCCAAAGAAAGGTTTTTACTGCTATAACATAAATAATCAGTTGTCTACAATCCCAAAGAAAGGTTTTTACTGCTATAACATAAATAATCAGAAGTTGTCTACAATCCCAAAGAAAGGTTTTTACTGCTATAACATAAATAATCAGAAGTTGTCTACAATCCCAAAGAAAGGTTTTTACTGCTATAACATAAATAATCAGAAGTTGTCTACAATCCCAAAGAAAGGTTTTTACTGCTATAACATAAATAATCAGTTGTCTACAATCCCAAAGAAAGGTTTTTACTGCTATAACATAAATAATCAGAAGTTGTCTACAATCCCAAAGAAAGGTTTTTACTGCTATAACATAAATAATCAGAAAGGTTGTCTACAATAACAAAATAATCAGGTTTTTACTGCTATAACATAAATAATCAGTTGTCTACAATCCCAAAGAAAGGTTTTTACTGCTATAACATAAATAATCAGAAGTTGTCTACAATCCCAAAGAAAGGTTTTTACTGCTATAACATAAATAATCAGAAGTTGTCTACAATCCCAAAGAAAGGTTTTTACTGCTATAACATAAATAACAAGTTGTCTACACTCCCAA